AAGGTAAAGAAATAAATGCAAGATAAAAATTAAACGCGATATATCATTTAAACATTAATTTCACACATCACTTTTATAATATTTTTCTTTTATTAAGTAAAGTGTGCTTGTGCAGCATCTTCCTTCTCGAGTATCGTTTCATTAGCTCCTCACGAGTAAAAGCATTTATAAAAATTTATTAAATATATTAATAGTTGTTTAAGAAAACAGGAATTTATAAATTAATTTTCCATACTAACTATCGAATACAAATCCAATTGCTTTATTTTATTTTTAATTAGTGATTAAGTGAAGGACTATCAATCATGTGATTTGTCACTTCAAGATGTCCAAAGAGACTAATCGCCTTTCTCTGCTTGTAAATAACTATTTAAGCACCTGAGTAAAATAGAAACAAACAAGAAAGAAGAAAACCTAAGCAATAACTTATCGAAAGTTAGAAATTGGAGAAGAAAAACTCGTTTATAGAAGTTTTCATTTATTAAAAATATATGGAATGTTATCTCGGACATAATTTACAATCAGCTTGTTAAAATTTTAACAACTATTTGTAAAAGATGATGAATACAAAAGCACAAAGACAACACAAGGAAAACTAGATGATCCATCAGCACTCGTTAAACCTGCCATTCTTTATTAATTTCCTGAAATTCTAAAATATTTCTTCTTAATTAATGCTGGGATTGCAGCTACTTTCAATAAATCAAAACTGGAATAAAATCGACTGTTTAAATTTCACTTTTGCATTTACGTTATAAATTTATGCAAAAAACAAAAAGAAAGCAATAAACTTTAAATATATATATATACAGTATATTAACCAGATTTAATTTTATATAGAATGTTTATATTTCCATTTAATAATATAGAAATGACATCAAAGAAATGAAAAAATTTATCAAGAAATTGATCAATCAATCAAGTCAAATTTTGCTGCTTTATCTGATTCATCACTTCTGCAAAGAAAGAAAAAAAAAGGAAAAACAAAACAAAAAGATTTTTCTTATCTTCGATTTACTTAAAAATCATTTCAATTCAAGAATATCTTGAAAAAATGAACCGTAACGAATCGTGACAACGTTTAACCTTTTAAATTTACCAGTGTTCAAAGCTAAATACTGTAAATTTCTGATGTAAAAACATCTTAAAATAGGCATTAAGTGTAAAAATAATTTAACATAATTTTTGTAATAACATTTAAATTTGTTTTTTTTTTCCACCAAAGATCTCTCTCTCTCTCTCTTCGGTACGAAACAATCTACAACTGCTCATTTATTTAGCATTTATAATTATTTATACATATTTATTAAATAAATATATATGTGAATATTAAATATTTTAGTCAGTTTTGATGCTAATTTTATTAAAATTTAAAAATTGAGTATAAAAATCGCTTTTCATAAAAATTTAAAAGAAAAAAAAATCCATTTATAGAAAGCAAGATAATGATCTTCTTACAACAGCACATTTAATAAATATAAATATATATATGTATTACAGTACATTATCCAATATCTACTTATTTATCTAATTCTCTTTCCCTGTTATTTTGAATATTAGTTTAAAATGGATAAAATCGTACTACAATATTTCTTTGATTTATTTTTGTAGAATGAAGGCGACTTAACAATTTGTAGAATTAATTATAGATTTAAAATTTATCTCGAATGAAGAGATAATATTTAAATAATCTGTGATTCATTTGACTTAACAAAACATTAATACATCTTAAAATTGAAAATTTAACTCTTTCTCTCTTTAAAATATTTTAGTCTCGATTATTACTCAATTCATTCCTATTTGCATAAAGACTAAACGTAGTTTATTATAAATTTGTTACTGGATATTTAGCTACCAAATAAAACAGGAACCTCATCTAACGCCTTTGTAGTACTTAGGTTATGATTGTCTAAACAGAAAAACCTACTAAATGTATTTATCAGCAGTTACCAAAATAAGAAACCCCTGATATCTATTCTGCAACAAAATCCATGTCCCAAAGTGCCCTGATAGCATTAAGTTCACTCTCAAAAGTTAACTGGTACTGTGTTTAAAAGCAATACACTGCAGTTATATAATGTTTACAGCATAATATATTATAATACACGAATTTTAGAAATTCTCTTCATATGCATAAGTTGTGATAAAGATTTTTAAATTAATTTTAGTTGTCTACAAACATGATTATACATATTGATAATATATATGTACTGTATATAGTGAATTAACAGTGCAAACTACAAACTAATATTCCCCTCCCCGAAATTAGCTGTAATTTCTACAAATTAGCAAGTTGTAACAGTATTTCTTAAACTAAATTTTCATATTAACAATGTATTCTGATATTAATTAATTAAAATGTCTTTAAAAAGTAAATTAAAATCGCTAATTAAGAATAAAACATTAATATTAATTTTTTCAAATTATAAAGAAAAATAGACAAGTAAGAATATTATTATTTCTTCTAATGTCTTAATATCATAGTATAATTTGCATTGATTCTATTAAGCATATTAATTTCATTTGATATTACTTTTCTCTAATTAATTACTTCATTAAAAAAGTCAATTAATTAATTTAATAGGTTAGTTTTATTAAGAGAATATTTGCATTAATATAGTCTAATCTTAACATATTTGTAGGCATATTTTAAAAAATTTGATCTGAACACACTTTTAATTGAGGAAACAATAAAAAAATTTATTTTTATATACCGTTTTTAATTATCAACTTTTAAGTAAACGGGATTTTGTTCAGTGGCTATCAATTTTACCAAATTTTTTCATTGCATTATCTCTGCATTCGAGACAAAATCAATCGATGAAGACATTCTTTCTTTTATTTAGAACAAAACAGATTTTTTCTGATAGGAAAAAAAAACGGGATTTTTAAAATGTTTTTCGAGACCAAAAATCCATTTTGGTAGTTTCAATTCGTAGAAAAGAAATATATGATGTGGAAAACGATCGCTTTATCTTCAAAAATCCCTTCTTCTTCTAACAGTTTAGAATATTGTAATCTTATTTATTGTTAACTTTTTTTTTTAAATTAAACAAACGTTTCCCTCCTCCTCTAGTTTAACTCCTAAAACTTAATTACCTTCTCCTAATATTTTTTACCACTATCTGATTTATATATTTAAAAAAAATTAAATTCTGATTATAATTAAAATGCAATTACTCTGAAAATAATTTTTAAAAAATTAACTTAACTTAAATTAACTCTCCGAAAAAATTAAATAACGATAAATTTATTACAATTTTTCCTTAAAAAAAAAGCATAAAATATTTGAAAAATATGAAATAAGTAAATCCTTTAAATACAATTTTACTCTTCATAGTAACTAGCTCATAATATGATAAAATGTAATGCGTTTTATGTTTATATCGTTCATAAAAACAAATTTACGATAATAAATCAAAAACTATGGTTATAGCCTATTATATATCCAGATTTTCCTGATTATAATCCAGATTTTAGAGACTTAAATCGGGATTAAATGATCAAAAATAATCTTCATCAAAACAAGATTCGTAAACAAACATCGACCCTGAGAACAAGAAAAAAAAAAGAGAGAGAGAGAGAGAGAGAGAAAAGATCACTTATATAATAAATTACATAGTGTATGAATAATTATATAATGAAAATTAAAGAGAGGAATTATATAATCCAAGAAGCAAAAATATCTATTGAATAAAATCCTAAAAAGGTATAAATTGTATTTCCGTATTGGCAAAATCCAACCTCTTCCATTGGTACAAGCGACAGCCTCGTTTCAGTCAAACCCTTTTATTGACGGCCAAAATAATCGATATCTAGTATAACACCAAAATACGGCAAGCGAGACAATTTCGAGATGCAATAAATTAACGATAGAAACTTAATTTTTAAAATGAAAACCCCCCGGAAGATTTTCGAGGGAAAAATATAAAAATCAAAATCGATTAAAGAAGCTTCCAATCGAAAATAATATTGCGAAAAGTTTAAATTAACAATTCGCATCGAGTCCAAAGTCAAAAACCTTACTCCAAACGAAACTTATGGGAACAGGGCCAAACTTCCACTAGTTGAAAGTGTGTAGAACACCAACAGAAACGATGCCATTTGTCATAAGATCGTGTTGCGAAAAAATAAAATAATAAAAAAAAAGAACAAACAAGTGGATTTTTGTGCCACTTTTTACGAGGGGACTAAACGAAATTATTTCCGACATGTGTGAATCATACGGTGTTTATATATCTATATAAAATATAAAAGAAAAATCTTGAGTACGATAAAGCAAAGATTTTTTTTCGAATGACAAGAATGATGGACATAAAATCGAACTATGAAGCACAAAATGATAATTCTGCTTTATATTCAAAATGGCGACGACTTCTCCCTTTCTATCACTATAGGTGTCGCAATTAGAGCTATCACCTACAAACAATTTCATTCTAGTTGCGACTCGAGTTTATAAATAGCAATAAATAGCAAGAACGATGCTCATCGATCGCTTGAAGATTTGCATCATCAGCTGTTTTAGCCTCATCATAAGTGTATACTCAATGATATTTTTTTCAAGCTTTATGTATAGTAAGATATATCTATATAACTATATAATTTACAAATGAGAATGATATTCATGACTTCCTATAAAACTTTTTATAATACGCGTTATATAAGTAAATTTAATTTTCATTTTAAAACTCTTGAAAAATTTACTTCTTTTGAGTTAAGAAATTCTATGGAATTCAATTGAAAAACTAGAACTGGTTTTATCCAGTGCAATTCCAAGAATGGGTTGCTAGTACGTTGAAAACTGATTATCCATTTATAACCCTTTACGTCTCTATGCAAAAGTTAAGACTGTGCAGCATCCCATTTGCAGATAGCTTGATTACATTTTTTTCTTCGATGTACAGCACATATTTTATTTAATTATTAAATCTGACATAAAAAGATCATTTACAATATCTTCTACACTGCGGCTCATGTGACGTAACAAGGTATGTACTTACTGTACACAACTCTCCATTCTCCGTCCTTGTACTTCCATCGGAATTGGCGAGTAGGTCTTCTGTTACCTTCCAAACCACCGTAATGACGCAGTGACTCTCGAAAAGAACCCCTGACACGTCTCACACTCATTTCACAAAAATAGAGACGTCTGCGGAATGGTTTTAGACCTCTCTTAGACACCAAAGACCATAGAGGTGAGGGTAAAGATGCAGGCGTCACAGAGGTTGATGCGGCAGTTCCTACTCCGATCTGTGGCCAATCGATAACATGCGCTGTGTGCATCATACCTCGCTCGTTCACAGATCTCCTGCAGAACACTTGTTGCCATGGTTTCCTGGAGTCATTTCTACTTGTCCAATAACAGGATCCATCCAGGGGTGGCGCAGATTCGCATACGAAATGGATACTAGTCTGATTTGCATCTCTGTTTTTTCTTCTATGCAAATGACTAAAGATATGAAAATTTATTATTAAGTTGCTTTCTTTAGCTCTTTTTTAAAAGAAAGGAATGTAATTTTTCCAAAAACTAACATTTTTCAAAAATGTAATTATATTATTTAACAAATTACGCTACAACAACTTAAACGAGACGTTAAACAATAAATTTTATTTAATTATTAAGAATATTTCTGTGATGTTTTAAGATTTCACATAAGATTTAATAAATTTATGTTTAACATTAAAATATTGTTAAATAAAATAATTTAATTGGTCGTAAATAATTTTTGTTATTAAAAATATCATTCATTTAAGAAATTTTTAAAATATTCAACATAAAACTTTTCTATTTACATTTAATGATCTGTTATTCAAATAAGAGGAGATATTCATTAAGTATTTTAAACTAAAGAGTTAAGAAATACTTGGAAAGCAAGTAATGACTTCATTAAATTGATTTTATCTGAATATATCTAGTGGCAGACTTTACATCAATCAACTTTGAGAGAAGCTAAACTGTTCTTCAACATTTTGCAACTAAACAAACGGCAATCAATGCTCCTAACAAGCACAAGATTCAATCCAAAGTTACAAACTAAAACATCCTTTATCTAGATTAAAAAAGGAGAGTATTGAGTATTATTTGGATCAGTTTTGAGTAAACTTATTCTTTTCTGGAAAGAAAATATATAACAAATTTTGTAGGTAAAATGTTAATTATAAAATGCTTCAAAAATTTATATCTTTAGAAAAAACAAAAATATGAAATTTTATCGGGTTCCAACACCTTCAAATATATCTTTGATTTTAAGGTCCAGGAACCAGATAAATCTATCCTTGATTCAGTAATTATTATTTTTGAGGAAATTATAATACAATATTTATATGCGTAATTAAAATAATAAAAATTTACAATTTTTAAAGAATCTCGCACAATGTTTCTACTAATTTCTGAAAATTAAAATAAATATAACAGAAAAATGGACTGGATGATATAATCCTTAATCATTTTTGCTTAGTATATTCAATCTGTATTGAAGTGCCAAAAAAACCCTTCTGTTCTCTCATTTTATTGACTGATGCCTTCATTTAATCACATTGATATTCTGTGTCCACTCCTGACCGGATTGAAGTAGTGGAAAACAAGCATTTTGTTTTCCTCGTATCAAAATTAATATGCAGGTTATAAGATTTTTCTTTCATGCGTTTCGAAACTTTTATTATTTAATTTGGATATAAAATCCCGTTATCCTTTATTCAAATTTATTATCTAATAAAATCCAGTGTAATATTCGGTCAAATTTTAACGTTAAAACTTGAAATTTTGCCAAAATAACAGTATCTACAGGTGAACAAAATCTAGAAATAACATTGCCAAGTAACGTATTTGATGGTATTAAATGAAAACGTCAAGTATTGATTCGAATTCTTAAGAAAATACCTTCTATCAGAGTATTTGCGGTGATAAAATTGTCTAGTATCCAAACTAGTTATTAAATGCCTGGCAAAAATATTTGTAGTAGATTTTATGCTTGACGCTTCAAATTTATCTAAATAAAAACCCTTTAAGATATCTTCATAATTTACGTATTCAAATCTTTCTAACCTTAAATAGTAAAATTATAATTATTTACTCTTATTTAGACCTTTCAGCTTACAATAAAAAGGCTTTCATTTCTATTTTATAGTTGGTTTAGCTATAAATGAGAAGTAATCGACATAAATCTAAAGTCGAGTCGTAGCAATGGACTTTTACAGCTTTTCTTTGTTTAACTCAATCCTAATTGTTTAATTCAGAAAAAATCATGAAATTCTGCAAAAATATTTTCCTGTTATTTTGATGCCCCAAGCTCCAAATTTCATTTAATGATTACATAGCTTCATAAGATATAATAATAGTTATAATAATATAACTGAATTTCATTAGACATTTTCACTTATCAAATATTTTTATATCCGTAATCAAAGTGAAGGTCACACAATTCGGAGAATATACTGGCCACATGCCATACTTATGAATGATGCGCGTAAAACTGTAAAACCAGAATTTATATATAATAATTTGTCACCATCAAATTTGAGGTCCTGCCAAAGTCAAAGACTTCTTTACTCTTAAAAAAAACAAAGGGAAAGAAAACATTTAAAAAACTAGTTGCAAATTTTTGATTATTGTATTCGATATTTAAAAAAAAGTTTACTTATTTTTAGCATCTGCTTTAAAATATGTAAACATAAAAAAAAACTGTTCAAAACTGTCCTATTTTTATGAAACTTGGAACGAATAAGGAAAAGAGAAAAAATTAGAATGAAATTTTTAAGGATAGTATTACTAAATTTCGAAAAAATTCTGCCTATACTTAAATTTATCTCTTCCCATTTAAAAAACAAGCAATTCTCGTAATTAGCATGTTTCTTAAATTTTCTACATACTAGATGAAGTTTGCGAATGCAAAAATTAAAAGCAAATCTAAAATTAATTTATCAGGACCATGTGTAATATTAAAAAAAAGGGATTAAAAAACCAAAATTATTTTTCATAACATAGTTCATTAATTTTTACAATATAGGTACAGTACGTAGAGTAACACAATACAGTAGACAAGAGAAAAACTAAACGAATTAAAAATATAAGTTATTATTTTTCCTTCTCAAATGGGGGTTAAATCCCCAAAATCTCCTCGGTGTGTACGCACTTTTGGTCCATGTACATTCACTCTTTTGTACAGTTTATTAATTAAATAAAAACTTATAATTTATTATGAATTTCAATTATTGTATTTTTTTATCCCTATGACACTTTTAAATTATACCAAAACAATCCTTTAGAAAATAAAAATCATTTTCTGAGACAGATTGCACGCATTCAACAGGACTATAACTTACGAGTTAGAGTGGAAATTTAAGCTTATAATCCCACCTAATTCATCAATGTATTTTTAGTTATGTCGGGTCTTATTTGAAATTCTAATTCGAAAGCTGTTTAGCTTATAGGAGACAAGCTTGTTGCATTTTCTAAACTAATTGTACAGTACCTTCAGCTAATACACAGACAGAAGCCTGCTTTTCTAAAATAATTGTACCTTCATACACAGAGAGAAGCCTGTTGCATTAATTCCTTAATGTCACGAATTTATAACAGATATGATGGAATAGTTTTGTTACATTTATCTACTTTAATAAGTGTAATTGTTAAATAATATCTGAAGGAATAAAATGACGGAATGTTAGTGACAAGCCAACTTTTAAGTAAGTCTAAAGTCGGCTATACACAAACCGGTATACCAGAACAGGAGGGTCTGTTCAGTATATGTTCTGTACTGATAGAAGATACACAGTGTTCAGTGGAGTACTCAGGATTTAATCTTGGAGGAAGCCAAGTTAAACTTATAGAAAACTTTTTAACGAGAATTCAATAACATTTCAACCTTGTGAGATAACTTTTTTAAAATAACTCTTTCCGCCTTGCGGGCACTAAGAGAGTATCTTTTAGCAAGCCCGTTAAGAGTTTGGCCAGGCCCACAATGGGACGCCGGGTGGTGAGAGACGGGGTCCGACATATCTGGACGGACCAGTGGCGTACTCAGAGGTAATAGGATTAATAGTAGTTTTTTTAAATATTGTGTTGTGTTTTCTGTTTCTGAACAAAAAGGTTTATTAATTAGGAAAAGATTTTTGGAAAATATTTTAGTTTTATTTTTTTTCTTTGGAAAGTGCCAGGACCTCTTGCCCACCTCCGGATACGTCATTGCATATACATACACATCATCAGTGGCGCACCCAGAAGGGGGCTAAGGTGGTACCTTCCAAAGAAAACGGAAAGAAAATCTAAAAAATTTTTCAAAAATCTTTTCCTAATAGCCTTTTTTTTTGTTTATATTGTATCGTGTATTCTATTTCCACACTACTTATGAAATAGCGCTTACATAAGGTGGGAATTTTATTGAATTCGCATTAAAACGGTCAACTCGGCTCCCCAAGATTAAATCCTGAGTGCATCACTGTGTATATGTATATATAGTATACGCCGTATCTATCTCTACAGTATTTACATATGACTGTATATATATGTATAAGACATAACTGATATGCATGGGAATTGTGCACTTAGTTTTCATTTATGACTTTATTACGTTACCTTCTCTACTTAAGAAAGTAAGAAGGTAAGTCGTTTAGAGCCAACAAGAAGAATGTTAATTTAATTAAGGTACAGAATATACTTCTAATGTTTGTAATTATGTGAGTTAAATTCATAATATAACATATTCCTCACATTTCGACTCTTGAAATTCAATCAGAAAGATAACTTTTGATGTGAGAAAAGGAGCAGACGATCGAATCGCACCAAAAAGTTGTATTATTCAGTATTAAATCGTGTTATGTTTCTCTCTCTTCTGCTTTAATAATTAATTATTCAAGAAGATAAACATTAACCACTCACGTGTTCTATTATTCAATTATTTGGTTTTTCCGGATATAAAACAAACTTGAACATTTCGCCATTTTTCGCGCTTCTAACTTCACAACACCATCTAGTGGTCATTTTCGAAATAATTTAGCAGACGATAATCGTATTTTTTTTTTTACAAATTGTATTGAAAGAAATACTTGTTTATACGATAAAAGTATTCTTACCAATTAATTTATTTACAAAATAATTCAATTAATAATAACAATTTAATTAAAATTTTTTTGGACCGATTAAGAATCTCCAATCAAATTTGTATGCTGATTGGTTAGTTTAAAAATATTTAAATTTTCAAATATACGTTCTTGTCTCATTAGCGTGTATCACACGTGTAAATAAAATAAGATTTAAATCTTATATCCGAAAATAGTTATCACGGTGCTTGATCCTCGGATGTAATATAATTCTGTATTAGTTATTTAATGCCTGTTCCTAAAATATAACAATATCTAAATAGGTTTTAATTAATTTTAAAACGTAATTATATTTAAAATTGAGGGAAATTTAATAATATTTGGAAGTTTAATTTTTTTAATTATAAAATCTTTTTAATTTTTAAATAATTATGCAATTGTAAATTACATTAAAATTTTAAAATGATTATAAAATTGTTCTAATTAAAATTGCTTTCGTTGTTTTTTTAGTAATTTAATCATGAATATTTTCTCAAAATTTATTATTTTAAATAACTTTTATTTGTAATTAAAAGTTTAATTATAATTTAAAAATTCGCTTTAATCTTAAAAGATTTTGTATCAAATTCGTACTAATTTTGATATTGGTCTTTATAGTTACTCAACCTTTCTCACTTTTCTCGAAATGATATCACATAACGCGATCTCCGAGAGATCGCGATCTACCAGTTGGGAAGCGAATACTTAAAAGCATTTAAAAAAACGTCTTTTTTAACTAAAAATTTTATATAATTTTTTAAATAATACTTTCCAAGAAATTCTATCATAACATTGCTTAACTTTAGTAAGTTACAAGTGAAAAAAATATAAGATTTTGAAGGGTATTCACTAATTTTAATAGAACTTTTTACATATACAAGTCACCTCTCATCTTAAATATTTAGTCTGCTTACAAAGACAATTGTGGCTTTGTTGAAGAAATTTCTTCAACTCTGAATATAAAAAAATAATAATAAAATTAAATAAAATGTAGTAGTTAGGATGGTGTCAGTAATCAAACAAGAGAGTTTAATTAATCGAATTTTCGCTTCTTTTATGTAATAAACTTTGAAATAATCGCATCCTACTCATACTTGGTTTCGTCTATCAAAGAATCAGCCATTTCGCTCTTTCTGTTTTGGTAAATTAGATTTGAAAAACGAATTTAGTGCAAAGTAGAAGGGAGTGTCTGTCTCTCCCGTCACATTGTTCAAATAATAATCTTTATTTTGTCAAGAGAATAAGAGAAAAATATATATACGTTTGAAAGACTTACCTTACTTTTACAGTTCGAAAATTAACATTTTTCGCATAAAAATTCGCCTTTAAAAATAAAATTTTAATTATTCATAAATGTTGATGCGTTTAGCAATATAAAACTCAACGCAGTTTATTTATTTAGAATTCTTTACGGTTCATAAAATTAAAATTATTACTTGTTTCTTCTTAAGATTATGTTAAGTTTTAAATAAGAAAAATTGTATAAAGTTAATGAATAAACAATGTACAAAGTTTTAACTTAATTTAGAATAAATATTTGTGTATCTTTCTAATTTTTTTAACGTTTTGAAAGTAATTGAAATCGTGCATTAAGCAATTTAATATTTCTTGCAAAATTAATTTGTCTTTAATAATAAAATTAATTTTTAAAAAATTAAAAATTTTTATTAATAATTTTCTTAATTGATTTAACATTAATTTATTCCTTGTTGAAAAATCTATGCAAATACATTTCATTGATAAAAGTAGGCTAAAATTTACATGAGAAATTAACTTATTCTTTACTGCAATAATCCTGGCCTTAAAATAAACTTAAAAATTAATAATGATACAGGCAACAATGTTAAAATGAACTAAATCGCTCTAAAATTCCACATTTGAATTTTAAGTAAGTACAGTGGTACCTCGGTATACGTCTGCTTTAGAATACGTCCTGTTTGGACGAAACAAATTTTGCTCGGTATACTATTTAATTCAATTATACGCGCCATCTATGAACAAACAGCACTATCGGTGTACTAGGCCAGACTAGACGTTCGCAGTGCCACAGTTTATAACTTTGTTAAATTTCTTCTGATTTTAATTTGTAAGCAAAATTTTATTATTTTTATTAATTATGAATTGCAAAATGGCAAATGAAAAGCAACAGAAAACTAAAAAAAATGACTAGAATCACAATGGAACTGAAAAAAGAAGACTATTGAGAAATACAGTAGAGCGTCGTTTATCCGAAAGAATTCCAGTTGGCACATTTAAATTTTCGCTATTGCTGTGGCGCTGCAATTTTTGGCTATGTCTTGGACTACTCAAATATTTTACGTTTTTGATACTAAATTAACTTCTGAAGTATATTGAAAAATATAAAAACAATAAAAAATTATATTTATTTTGTTTGTACAAAATAAATAAATAATTTTTAATGATACAATAGCCACGATTATTATTTTAAAAACTTTACGTTAGGCTTAAGATCAACGAAAATTCAACGCAAAGCGACACGCAACAGAGAAAAATTTCAGGATGAAATAGGTTAATATATTTTTTCGTACATAATCGGTTATCCGAAAAATAAGTTATCCGAACAACTCCAGTCCCCAATTGATTCGGATAAACGACGCTCTACTGTATGAAGATGGAATGCGTGTTCGAGATTTTAACTGTTACATACCGTATTCCGAGAACGACAATCGCGAAAAATAAAGACATTAAATCTGCTAACGTTGCGAAAGAGGTTAAATCAATTTCTAAACAGAGTCGATCTCTGTTTAGAAATTGATTTAACATTATCATGTTTAGAAATTGATTTAACATAGACATTAGATCATGTTAAGAAATTGCTTTTGCTTTAGATAACTGAAAAACAGTGTGCTAGAGACAGCGTATCAGAAGCAATTATTTGCGAAAAAGATGCATGCTGATCTCATGAAAAATCAAGTAGGAAAGCGAGGTGTTTAAAGCCAGCCATTTTTTTTTTCATGAGAACGGATTAATCATTTTTACATTACTTCTTATGGGAAAGGTTGGTTCGGTATCCTTCATATTCGGTATAAGTCCAAACATCAGGAACGGATTGAGGTCGTATACCGAGGTTCCACTGTATAATAGAACAACAATTTTATATTATTCGGTTGTAAAATTTGTACACTGACGCATATTTTACATAATTTATCATCAATTTATCTAAATGCTTAATAGTCTAGGAAAAAATTTGTTAATTCATGATAAAATTTGAGAAGAATAATAAGTTATAAACAAAAGAAAATATCACTAAAAAATTAGTATGAAACCGGCGGTTCAACCCTAATGAGGTTGCAAGAAGAATTAAACAAAAAGAAAAAAAAATACATAAAACAGGAAAAAATAAAAAAAAGTCCCACACTACGCTACTATCGATAATTACAAATAAATAGTACTAAAATCAGAAAATAAGTATGACTCGAATTTATATCGAAAACAGGTGAGGTAGTCAATAGATCTTTGACGAACACTAATCTAAATTTCATACTAAATATCCAATTACCCGTAATGATACATGCACACATACTGTACAGTACTGTACATACATTAGGCTACATACGGGATGCTAAAGAATATAGTGAACTCTCACATGAATGAGCTAAATCATTTATTTTAACAAAAATTCACTAAAGAATAGCAAAACTCACTATATCAAAAGTGCATAAATTAATTTTATTTCCTTTATTTACACACACACGACATACATTTTATATATAATTCGTCTCGAGCACGACGTGTTAGGTCTCCTAACAAACCTAAAAATTTGTACATATTTTCGGTTTTTAATAATAATAAACTAAAATTTCGTAAATACTTTTTTTCGATTTGCACAATTTTTACCTGTTTTTTGATCGGGAAGAGCTTAAATAAATTCCAAATCATCCAATTTTGTTGCCATTACCATTAAAAATACTCTGTTTATTAGCACTGATAATCCATAATTGCTTTATAATGAATATGAATCAAATTTAAAAGATATTAGACAATTAGCAACAGATGGAGGTGTGAAATTAATGGCACGTTGCATAATTCAAAACAATTTTACTCGATTTATTATCTAATATAAAAACATCATAAAAAATTTCGGACATTTTTTCCCATATTAAGACGAAACGGATATCGCGGCTTATCGTAGATTATTAATAATCATTAAAATCTTATTAAGTAAACCGAAACATTTTACAAATATTAAAAAATTATATGTTAAATTAATTATTATATTTATTGAGAGAAAAAGTCGTTTAATCTGTTTATTTATTTTTATTTAAATTATTAATGAAGTGAAAAATAATCCGCAAGGGCGCGTCGTATTTCGGTTTCTATGGAAACGGTACGATTCGAATAGAAAACAAAATGGAGAAGAGAGATTCGTTAATGTATGGATGTCAATCTATTAGTAGTATAGAGAGCTCTCAACTTTCTTCGTTCGGTAGCAGTATAAAATTAGGAGCCGTCAAGCGTAAAGCGTACAAATCTTCGAAGAAAGAAGACAGTCAGATCAGCAGTGAAATACTGTTTCCTTCTGTTATTGACGATGACGGAAATGACGTCACACCACGTCCACTCTTCCGCTTTGCACAGAAACATAAAAAACGTTCGTCCAATGCCAGGCTTTTAAACAGAAGTTTAGGAAGCAGCATTACGGGGATCGATTCTATAAAACCCGATTCATTAAAAGATGATCTTAGTATTCTTCACGAAGTGATAGATTTAGAGGTTGAGAGAGAAGAAAGTGACATCATCTCTAGCAGAATAAGAGAGATTTCAAATCCCATTCCATCAGTTTTAGAAGTCCCTGGTTACATTACATTGAGGGAAACGGATACAATTTGCATTTTAGATGTTACAGATGAAGTAGTAATGGAGAGTAACGAGGAATTTGAAGCCGTACAGAAAAGTAATTCAGGATACGATGGAAAATTGAAACTTTACTCAACAGTGGGAGGTTTGGTTAATGCAGAATCACAAACATTTCTTCTTACTACTAAAACCAAAGCTCAAGGAACAGACATTAAACATTTTAAAAATGCTGAAACTCAGGCTTCCGAAGCTATAATTTATGATGAGACCGTTGGAACAAGAGAAGAAGATAGAGTCCTTGAAACAATCACTTTGAAGAGTGATATAGATAACGGTTTATTTAAAGAAGTAACAATTTCTAAAGAGAACTTTATGAAGAGTTTGTATTTTATGGAAAGAGCTGTAAATTCTGTTACTTTTCGAGATAATATTGATTGTTTTAAACAAATTACTGATACACAGTTAGTTTCCAGTTTGATAAACGCAGAACAAAGTGAGGGTAAAATAGATGGAAATAAAAATGGGACTGGAATCAATTTAGAAAAGTTGCTAGTTATGACATTTCAACATGCTGAAGATTACATTGTTACTTCTTTATGTTGGAATGAAAAAAATACAGATGTATTAGCAATTGGTTATTCTCATAACAAGCATCCTATTGCAAATAAAGGATATGTTTGTTGTTGGTGTATAAAAAATTGTGAAGTACCAGAAAGAATATATGAAGCTCCATATGGTGTAAAATGTGTAAAATTTTGTAATATGACCCCATATCTATTAGCAGCAGGAATGTATGAAGGTGCCATTGCAATTTATGATGTACGCTCCACAAAACCTGATGCAATTCTCAATAATTTGGAATCTAGTTTTCGGCCAATTGGAATTATATGGGATTTACATTGGAATTGCAATGAGAAAGAAGAAAAGAAGTATTCTGTTATCTCCATTTCAGATGATGGAAATATTTTACAGTGGACAACAGATAATAAATTAGAATGTGTCCCTCTAATGCATTTGACAAAAATCTCTAATAACTTGGACAAAAAAGAGAAGTCATGTTTTATAACTCAGAATGAAAGTGGTTATTCAATAAATTTTAATAAACAGAACTCAGATATATATATTACATGTTCAGATCAGGGCAATATCTATAAATGTTCATTATTATATACTGATCATTATCTTTCTTCATATAGTTTTCATCATGGACCTGTATACCACGTGGAATGGTCGCCATTTCTCTCTGATACATTTCTCAGTTGTGGAAATGATTCAACAGTAGCAATATGGTCAGAGAATAATACCAAACCTACAAAAGTTATCAAAATTGGAAAAGAATTTAAAGCGGTTATTGATGCTTCTTGGTCTCGTACTTCACCTAACACATTTGCAACCTGTACTGAAGATAGTATTGAAATATGGGATCTATCTATAAACTTAAAAGATCCCATTACATCTGTAAAACCTTCTTATGGATTTCAATATGCTTGTATTCATTATTGTCCTAAAGGTGATATTTTAGCAGCCGGTTTTAGCAATGTTGTTACTCTCTACACAACTAAACCCATTGAAATTCAAACCAGTCAAAAAATAATTAGTGGGTCTGATATAAATATATAAGTTGTTAATTTATTTTATATATTTTTGAAAATGAATTGATATATTTCATATTTATATAATNAATATTTATAAAAACTATAATGAATTGATTATTTTGATATGGTTTGAATTACTAAAAATATAAATGTTTAATGCTGCTCCCCTACTTTAAAAAGGAAATAAGCCAAATTAATATATCATTTTAAATAGGTAATAAAAGAAATCTGATGATAATTAATAATCAGATGTTAAAAGTATAATATAAATATACAATAATCAAACACAATAAAAATGCTTTACTTGAAGAGAACTATAAGAAAAAGATTCGAGTGCTTTCAAGTATTATGTAATTATCATCAAGAACTCCATACGTTTTCTGATAAAGTATATATATATAATATTCAAAAGTACTTAGACCTTTCCATTCAAAGAGATGGAAGAGATCTTGAGCTGAAACAGAACAGATTCTAAGACCTAAATCATATGCTGTCCATGATGATAAAATCACAATAAAAGTTGCTTTTATCATCTTCAATTTTTCTTTAATATTAACCTTAAACAAACTAACTATTAACATTGGAAAGTTTATGATAATTAATTAATTTGGAATTATCTTTTTAATGATAATCTCATTACTCTATTTTATATAAGTCTACAAAGAGTGATATAAAATTTACTTTTTAAAAAATGTGGAATGGAAAACTTTTAGTTAGTATTTATTATAAATAATAGAATGATTATGCTGATAGATAAAGACAAGACAAAAGTTACAATCATACAAATGCTTGTCTAGAATACAGGACTGGAGTTTTCTATTGAAGATATAAAAACTTTGAAATATAATGAGAACATTATTTATAAAAAAAAGGGGTAAAATGATTATTGCTTTATTTTAAGGTGCATTTTCAAGACTAATTTCTAATTATTCTAATAAATTTATCAAATAGACAAAAGATTTAGTGTAATTATTAAAATTACAATCAGTTTATTGAAAACTTAGGTTGAATTATGGAAAGATAAGAATATTTAGCCAAAATTAATTGTATTTCCGAATACATATAACAAATTTTATAATAATTGAAACTTGATTATATTATATATAAATGTATAAAGATAAAATTAAAGAACAATATTCTTCAATAAACTCAATTAGTAAAAAAAAAAAAAAAAGCTAAAATCTTAATTCAAAAATGATAAAAGTAGTATATAATTGCACTTAGTCTAAATGAATAATAAAAATATTTACATAAAGAATGTTTTTTTTTTTTTTTTTTAACTTTACTCAATTTACTTATGTTTATCTTTTTAACAAAGTAAGATCTTATGTCCATTGAGATTAATTTACCTCAAAAATTCTGCTTAAAATATTTTTACTTAAGAGGTTAATTGAAAAAAGTTATCAATAATTACATATAATTTGAACTTGATTAAATATCATTTCTAATTACATTTTTCATGGTAATATGAAATGGTTTGAGATCATTGGAAAAACATTCCTTATCTCTTAAAATGAATGTAAGAAATAATATTTAATCAATTATCTATGAAATTTAGTTCTTGTAACTCATTATACAGACCATTACAAAGATTACTTTTCAATGCTGTTTTCACCTCATACAGAATATTCTTGGTTTCTTGTTAAGGAGGCAAAATTCATGTTATATTATAATGGATCTGGTGAAGGAATTATAGAATTCTACAATAATAATAATAAAATTTATGCACACAAAACAAAAATTTATGTTCTACCTGCAAAATGCCAGCATTCTCTAAATATGAATTTTATAAAGTTGAAAAATAATTAAACTGACAAAATATACTTTTGGCTCCTTAACTAAAACCAAAAGAATTATAGTTTTATCATTTAAAAAAGGTTTTCTTTATGAAAATTTTGATTTATTTTCAATTAAAATATTCTATGAGTAATCTATTATTAAACTAGTCAATTTTCTTTTTATGAAAATAATCAGCTTTTCTCTTGAATTAAGTTATGTATAATATTTGCTTATTATTTCAAAGCACGAGTTATTTTTATATCACCTATATAAACGTATGGGTTCTTTAGATAGCTTTTCGATTGCTTTCGTAAATATGAAATGCAGCTTGCCACAGTTAGTTGTCAGAGTCTTGTGAAGTTTTTCTTGAAGTGGCTTTAAAAAGTATTCAATAAGATTTGTTCCTAATTCGTACTGAAATAAAAATTTTAAATATATTTATATTGAATAATGCATAAGAATTATTTTTAAGTAAAATCTGATATAAAAGACACTCAAAGAATAACAAAAGAACATATTCTACACTATAATAATATCAAATTATTTAATGGAAATTATTAAAAATAAGCATATAATATTACTAAAAATCAAAAAATAAAATAATAGATGATCTCCATCAGCAATGTCCATTATTTCTCCTTACTAAAAACCAGTTTTATCTACAAATAGTTTTAAAAATTGTCTAAAACAGTCATTTTAAATTAATGCCACTGTATGGAATTTTAATGAAGAATCATTCTGATTAACAACTTCTGAGAATATACATTCCATTCATATCATAATTTGGTAGCTTTTATACATATTCAAATTTTCAAAACACTTATTTCAGTTGAAATTTCTTCTATTCAGAAGACTGCTTTGAAGAAGTTTGGATTAAAAGGATGAACATACTGAAATATTTAACATTTCTTATATTTGTTTAAAGATATTTATCCAATCACACTGTGAGTAAATGTCCGACTAGTTTAATGATGTGTGTGAAATTTTAACACTTATTTAATTTTACTCACTAACTTTCTAAAACTCTTGGCTGACAAATATAAATCACAAAGAAAAAATAATAAATTCCCCAGCTTATCATTCAGAGGAAAAATTTAGGCATTGTTTCCAAATGTATTTAAATCAGCATATATATTGTACAGTAGCATATCATTTTAATAAAACCAACATAGTTTCATCAATCAGATAAATTAAAGTAAAAAGTGATATAAAATGTTGATATGACTCATTTAATTTTATTCTATACATGAAATTTTAATTATTCCAGAATTTATGGTGTAATTACATATGAATTGCTTATTAAATAAAACTATTCTAAATGCATGAATAAGATATTAACTTCATTTCATTTACTCTACTCCTTTATATTAATTTCTTTAATTTCATTGAATAAATCATTTCAAAATCAAGAAATAATTAGCTTCCATATGTGATAGAATATGTTCATGGGTTTCCATCCCGTATCTACAGCATATTACATTATGCCTCACTTGACTATTTAGAAAGTATGACTCTAGAGATTGGTATGCAATGATAGTGGCCCATATATAGATATCAAAGAGCTACCAAATTCCTTTAAGATAAGGTTCTGGTACTACTACATTTTCATAAATTGGGTGCAGCATTCAGAATGCTTTCTGCTAGAATATCAGAGCATTAAGATAACATCTAACACACACATGAATTATAGATATGTCTAAGAGTTCTGGAACATGGTTATGAGTCCTTGTGATCAGATACCCTTTTGTTCCATTCATGAAATTATGTTATTTTATTTATTTCAAAAACTAAGAAAATAATCAGTATTTTATTTCAATGTAAAATGACCATTTTCATCTCATAATATGCATCTTAATCTATTCATAAATCAAAGTAAAAAAAGAAAAACCAAATCTCTTTCTTCATTCTATTTTAGGAAAATCCTCATGAATACTTCTCTTGGCTACAAAAGGAAAATACAGTGGAAACTCGCTTAACAAGCAAAATTGGTTCCAGAATCTTACTCATGTGAAACACTTGTTAAGTGAAATAGTTTTTCCCATATAAATTAATGTAAAATACGATAATGTGTTCCATGCCGAAAAAAATAATCAAATATTTTATGTATAATGTTTATTCAAAGAAAATCATACAATATACATTGTTAAGGAGTGTGAATCATCATCATCTTTTCTTTTAGTGCAAAATGAACTAACCTGGAATGTGAATTTGATTTGCAGAAAACAAAAAACACAGTTAATATATCTGATAAAGATGCCAAACAATATGCAAATTCTTGGGCTATGCAAATGCTATAATTAAATATTAGAAATTCATTAATTTGACTAGAGATAGGCAGTTATGCTGCCATCCTGTATTAAATTTAATAATTATAACATGATGGTACCTAACACATCCTTGTAGAATCAAATTCATTAGTAATTTATAATTATTATTACCAAATTATAGCCCAATGATATATGGCAATTGGAAGGGTGCTTAGTAGTTCAAATGATCTATATCNGACAGCATAACTGCCTACCTCTAGTCAAATTAATTAATTTATAATATTTAATTATAGCCTTTACATAGCCCAAGAATTTGGCATATTGTTTGCACATTTATTATATAACAGGCTATGATTGTCAATGTTTATATGTAACATGTGTGAACACAAGTTTGGAAAAATATGTGATCACGAGCGACACTAAGGTGCTAGCGGAACAAGTGATAAACACAGACTGATGAAGCATGCAGACAATCTGGGACTTCCCCTATCCTCGTCACTCATTATGGAAACATCGCTCGTTAAGCAAGTCATTTTTTTTACAATTTGTTTTGCTCATTATGCAAAATACTCATTGTACAAGGTGCTCGTAAAGTGAGGCTCCACTCTATATGAATGTTAACACCCCTTGTTATTGAGATTCTTTTGTGATTAATGTGAATAAATTTTACAAAACAAAAATAGATCAATTTCTATGAAGACTTGTTTTTCTGAATTATGCTTTTTTCAATTCATTTATTATAACTGTTTTATAAATTTCTGATATAAGTGATCTGTTGTGGATATGAAGCTTTTGATATAAACCTTTCTTCATATCCATCATCATTTTCAATGATATTCTGATCATTTATAATAAATAAATTAAAAATTACGTCTTAATTCTATAGTTATGTATTTCCGAGACCGTGTCTTCCTTTATTTCTTTTTCTCTTCACTACTAGGTGCATTAATAGACACAAGGCATTTTACAAAGATTCACAATAAAGATGACGTAAAATGCCTTGTGTCTATTAATACACCTAGTAGTGAAGAGAAAAACATCTTAATTCTATTTAACACTAAATACAATCATTGATTTAAATGCAATTACTGTGAGAATTTGTGGAAAATATATCTATTGGCAAATTCAAAAATATATCTAAAATGACATAAAATAACTGTAAAAACTTTATTATGCCAACTAAAATTTATTCAGAAGACAAATTTGAAATATATAGAAGGGTCATTCCATGTCAAATGATCAAGGTCTCCAGCTTAACTCCCTCAGATTTCAGTGAAATATGGACACAAAGATAGCTAAGACATGCAAAATATTAGCCCCATATGTTGTTGCATGTGTGAGATAAACTGCGGGTCAGGGATCTATCTCCCACTGACCACTTACTCGGCAACAGGTTGATAAAACCCGATCTCGGCATCGTCGGATGGCTAGGAGGGCCGTTCGAGTGGGGAGGGAGGTGAGCAAGTTGATAGGCGTCCTTAAATGACAGGAAACAGGTTTAAAACTAAACAAGCATTTATTATATACTCAACTAAGCACTACAAGAGTTTAAAAGTGGTTATCTCTACTATTTACATAAATTCGAGAACTAATTTTCGAGTTTGAGAGAGAGCGCTTACAAATCCTATATACCCCAAAATACCTGTTGGTGGCAGGGCGAATTGGCGAACGTTCAGGATGTGGTGTCTTCCTGTCTTCTATTCGAGGTCCTCTCTCTCTATAGCAGGATCGGGTCCGCTGAATGGAGGCTCGGGAGTTTCGGTGACACTATTACTAAGTACAACTTCCTATGACAAATCGCCCTGAGGTTACAGAGATTCGAGCTTTTATACTTTTTCGTGCGAGAGCTGACACGTCATTGATTCTTGTTGACGATGACAGTGCATTTTTCACACCTAACTGTAAACTTCCTCAGCGAGTTGTGATACAATCGGTGAAATCCGATCTAGTACAAAATCTTCGGGTTTTTTCCCGAAGTTAATTAACAAGAAAATTTAAATTTTTAAAAGACCCGCAAAAATCCGCGGGCTCACACATGGTTCCTGAGATAAGCCAAAACATGAAAGCACCTCATGACACATCTGTGTGTGCAGTGATTAAACAGACAACTTTGAGTTGTCCAATGGTTCCCTGGCTAAGAGCAATTACAGCATGAAACTTTGTAGGATAAGACAATTTTGAGTGGACAATTCATATATTCTAACAGAAGCTTTTAACAAAATGTACTCTATTCACAAATCTTCATGAAAGTGTCTTCCATCACTTGTATCATCTTTCCATCATTTGTAGCAGCATATTCAGAAAAATCAACCCTAGCTAAAGCATGGCTTCATGCATCATTACAATGTAAGGGCATATGTTGCCAGTGAGGTGCAAGATATTCTGGACAAACAAAGATTATTCCAATTCTACCTACAGTTCTGATCTTGTACAATGTGACTGGCTTTTGCAACTGTTATTCCACTACTGATCAGCATTATATCAAACGCAAACATTTTTGAAGAATCTTTCAAAGAATGACCTTTATGCTTTCCATAGTTGGATGAAATGCTGAGATTACTATATTGCATGCAGAAGAAACTATTTTGAAAAGCATGTAAACAATGTCAATTAAAACCCATCTCATTTCTGTGAAAACAGTCTCATTACTTTTTATCAACCCTCATTTATTGATAGTACTACATTTATGAATCATCATGATGTTTTTGTTGTTAATATAAATTTTCTATTTTAACTGCTTTATCATGAAACATCAGTCAAATATTTTGATATAATTTATGTAAATAAAATATATAAATGAATATAATTCAATAATTTCCTTACAAATTATTTTATGAATAAAATGCATTTATTATTTTTCAATAAAGTTAAAAAAAAGTTTTGTATACAGTCAAACCATGATTTAGTAAGCACTATCATTAATTAATTTGCCTTTAAGCGAAGCATCAAGTAATAAAAATTATGAAAAACAAGCAATTATTTATTGTGACATTGTCACAATGCCTTGCTGCAATGTTTAATCATATTTTAAATTTATTATTTAAAATATATTCTTTCCATCTCAAATTAGCAATGACTTGCTCCTGTACAACATACTTTTCCTTTAACAATAGAGTCGTGCTAATCATCCATCTAATACTTTCAGGGGAAACTTTCTGAATTGAAATAACATGACTTCCAGTTTGCATTGGAAATTCATATATAGTTATAGTTAATCAGGGCTTTCTGCTCCTAAGGTTTCCATATCTGGTCCCGAGTTTTGTCTATCTAACTCCATTCTCGAGATTAACCTGTTTAGTTCCTCTTAGTGTATTGTATTATTATACAGTAATATAGCTATATTTTAAAACTCATGCATACAAGCCTGACAATGATGTTTGAAATTGAATTACTAAATGCAGGATTTTATGAGATGCTGAAGGTTCTTTAATAGTTATAGGAAAGATCTGTTCACAAATATTCATAGACACTGTAAGGGTTGCACTACATCAAGATTTTAACTATATAATCAAATACTGAACTAACTTTGTGAGTGGAATAATGCAATTTATTTTTTTAAATAATGAAAATTAGTTTTTAAATGAATACTTACAGATTCCATTGCACTGTAAATAGCTCTAAAAGCAGGCTGTTTATTATTTACAAATACACCTCTATTTCCATGTACGATAGCTACTCCATTTTCTTCTGCACTTTTACACACGCTGGTGTACATACAGTGATCTGGGCGATAATTCCAGTCACAAGGAAATATTAATAATTTGTCTGTAATTAAATATTTTATTTTACAAAAATAAATAGATGTGAAAAAGGTTTCAAGCTAAGTTTGCTTTTAAAAGAATAATTATAAACTTTTTACCTGAATGATAATGAAATATTATATTAATAATATCTTGATCACCCCAAGCAATTTTTAATTTATATTCTTGATATATTGGTTGCAAATAATCTTGCCAATGAAATTTCCTCATCCGAGTTAAATTCATCAGCATTACTCCAGAATTAACACCTAATATAAAATTCCACAGTTTTATATTTACAAATTATTATAGGTAGAATTATTAAGGAGTAAGTGATTATAAATTAAATATGACATTAAAATGTTATATATATAAAATTCAACAAATTTTCTGTAATGCTACTTCTAATATTTCAAATTAAGATTATTATTATAATCTGTAACAAGTGTTAATGCCAGCTAACGTTTATTTTATATGCTTAAAATTAAAAATCAAAGTAATTAGATTATACAATCCACAGATATATGTATACAAAGACAACGCATGCATATACTATCCAGTATACAAATATTGCATTATTATATGAAGTAATCAATACATATTTAACAATAGGTAAGATTAAAATGCTAACTTTTTGATCCACTAAAGGATCAGCTTCAGGCATAAGCAGCCACAAGAATGCATGAAGCTGATTCTTTAAAATGACCAAAATATAGGCTCTGTTCAATGAAGATGGATCCAATCAACTGACATACATAGGGAGATGTTGGAGAACACTGTGATGCTACTGGTGATGAACAAAGAACAATTCCCAGCAATCTTTCAGCACAATGAGACACCAGCTCATTATAGTATAGTGGTGCAACAGTGGTTGAATCAAATTGAGTCAACAGTTTCCATGGTGTTGGATTGGCTGCTAGGATCTACACAAATGATTTGTATGCTCTCCACACTTTACCTTACTTGATATTAATCTGTGGGGTTGCTTGTAGGCTTTATATACCAAGAGAAGTTTCAAAATCTTCAACATTTGAAAACAGATCATCACTTCCTGTATCATCAGCAGAACTATGTAAAGTTCATCACAAGTGGGAAGAATGTCTGGAATTGTGCATTCTATACGATGTATCCAGGATGATAGGATTCCACATTGCTATGTATCCCATTTTGTATCTATTTATTACAATACAGGCAATTATGTAAAGTACATGCCTAAGTATTATGACTTTTGCTTCATAGTTTTGCATTGTAATATAAAAACTATTATTATTTGTTACAAAAGAATGTATGTAATGTGAAAAAAATAATTAGGAAAGCTCTGTACTATTAATCTGTCATCATCTTTTCTTTAAGTTTCAAATCATTTCTAATGTTAACACTCCACTTAAAAAGTTATATTCTTTGTATTTTTTTTATATGACTTAATAAACTTGTTGTCTCTCCAGATGTCTTTTTTTATTTCTCTGTCGATAGCCCGACACATGTTCCATAGGGACTTTTATTTTTATTAAAAGTCCCTATTCCTAAATTCAAGGACTTATTGTTGACACATAAAATGACTAGCTTTCAAATTTTTTCAAAAGATTTCAAAACTTTATTTTACTTCCTGACTATTATAACATAATATGGGTTACATTCCCAACTGTTATAATATTGTAATTGTGTCACATTTGACACTCCCTGATTTTTGGAATCATGATGTTTTGACACCTCTGAACCCAAAAAACTGTTTCAAAATATGTACAAATGTATACGTGTGTTGGCATCTATTTTCCTAATATCTCAAGATGGGGTAAAGATTAAGAAACAAAATTTGGCATAATAACTTGTGAGAGGAATTAATGCTACTAAATTTTGGTGATTAAAAGTCAAGGAGTAGGAGATAAAAGTGGGTCACATATCATATTTTAAGGGGGGTTGGACTTAATGAAGGAGATTTTACTCATTATTAGCAATTACAGTTTTTTTTTTTTTATAAAGCTCATCCCTACCTCAAAATTAAGCATTTTATCATTTCATAATAATTAATATAAAAAGTTTTTAACAAAATCTCATAATAAATGAAAGTGTGGGGGCCATCTGTCATTTTTGGGCTGTAATTTTAAATTGTAGACCTATAAATTTCCATTGTTGTCTGTCTATCTTTCCTTAACCTTGAGAACAGAGTTAGATAGATAAAATTCAAGACCAGATATGGAAACCTTATACTACGTTCGCACACAATCCACGACTCACTTCGATCTCGATTTACCTAGCTAGTCGAACGTCGTGCTGTTCGCACAGGCAGTCCGCTCGAGAAGAACCTGGCTATTACACGCTATCATAAAATTGACGTAACTACGCGGTAAGTCACAAACACCAACAAACAAAATGGAAGTTTTGGTTAGAAATAAATACTTTTTCTTGCCACACATCTAATAATAGACAGATGTCGTTGTCTCTCCAGATGTCTTTTTTTATTTCTCTGTCGATAGCCCGACACATGTTCCACAGCCATCTTGTATTTTCTCGCGCGCATGGGATTGTGGGATCTCTCTTATGACTGGATCTAGTTTCGAGAACTCTTTCCAGTCGATCATGATTGAACTTCGTTTCAGTCGAGATTGAAATGGTTGAGAGCGTTTGCACCACGGAACACACTCCGACCTTAGTCACAATCTAGATCGAAATGCTCAGTGCAAACGGGGTATTAGGGCAGGAGGCTCCAACTAACTATATACAAACTTCCAATGCAAACCAAAAGTCACATTATTTCAATTCAAAACTTTCCCCTGAAAGCAGTTAATAGATGACCAGCACACTTCTATTGTTAAAAGTATGGTGTACAGGGGCAAGACAATACTAATTTCAGGTGGAGAGCATATATTTTAAATAAAATAAATTTTAAAAATATGATTAAAAATTGGAGGCTGGCATTGTGACAATGTCACAATAAGTAATTGCTTGTTAATAATAAAATCTCATAACAGCCAAGATAGCTGCACAACTCGTTGCTGGATATTTTATATTCAGAAAGTAGGATACTATCTTTCTTCTGGTGCAAATTAGTCTCCAAATTATAAGAGATAAGAGATATGGATAAATAAATCAAAATCTTATAGCACTTTTTAGGCATTACTTAGAACAATGTCAATATATATCTAATAGTATTTTTATAGTTGTCAGTCAAATTTCATTTTTATAACTGATAAATAATACAGCACACAGGTTACAATTAGAGGATAATTTTCTTCTAAAGAAACTATCAGGAAATCCAAATCTATCCCACTAATCTGTAATAGGTATAACAGATTTATTGGTTGAGTATAATTGTTTTGAGATAATACTTACTGTATTACCTATACTTCCTATATTGAAAATTTAATTATCATATATTTGTATAATTTACATAAGCAAGCTTCAATTTTTTTTAATATTACAGTAAAATCTATCTAAAATCATTATTATATACATAAAAATATTTTGACAATTTTTGAAGTATTCAGGAAATTGTAAGTTATCATAAAAATTTTGGGTATTTTTATATTTAAATATAAACACTTGAAATAGGAACATAATATTCTAATTCTCAGAACTCCAGAGTTTGTCATTTATAATTTAGTGATGTCCATATGTCTAGAAACTAAAAGGGGTGAGGTCATAGTTCCAAAAAATCAAAACTATTTACATCACAGCCAACATTTGTACACGATAAAAATTTTCAACAATCTGACTATACTGGAGTAATAAAAACTGTACTCTATTTTCAATTGTAGTCAACAAAAATCAGATGAAATTCCAAACTTACCAATAAAAATTAGTATATTCTATACCCATATGTAACAAGATGTTTGTGTCCATGTTTAGCAAGAACAAGTTGGTGAGAGAAATAGCAACCAAACAAACAGTATATTAGAATTTTTTTATTATGGCAAACTGTAATTGAGTTCTGCAGAGGTTCATATATATGTATGAGAGCATACGTGATCACATACAAACTGTTGCCTTTCTTCTTCACAACTACAGACTGCATCAGTGTTTTCCTGCTGTCTAAAATATTTTCTGTAGTTTTCTTCTTCCTCTATTTTCTCTCCAGTAATAATTGCTGTTAAAATTCCTACTATAAATCTTCTCTGTTTCCAATAACACTAATCCATGGAAGCAATTGTGATGTAAAGTAACTTTATTACAGTACAGTGGTACCTCGGTATATGTCTGCTTTAGAATACGTCCAATTCGGAATACGTCGTTTGGACGAAACAAATTTTGCTCGGTATATGACTTTTGTTCGATATACGACTTAATTCAATTATATGCGCCATTTTTGAACAAGTAGCACTATCGGTGTACTACACCCACATAAATGTTCACAGTGCCACGGTTTATAACTTTGTTAAATTTCTTCTGATTTTAATTTGTAAGTAAAATTTTATTATTTTTATTAATCATGAATCGAAAAAGGCAAATGAAAAGCAACAGAAAACTAAGAAATTGACTAGAATCACAATGGAACTGAAAAAAAGATTGTTGAGAAATATGAAGGTGATATGCATGTTTGAGATTTAACTGTTGCATACCGTATTCTGAGAACGACGATATCGACAATCGTGAAAAATAAAGACATTATTAAATCTGCTAACGTTTCAAAAGAGGTTAAATCAATTTCTAAACAGAGATCGAAGATTTTAGATCATGTTAAGAAATTGCTTTTACTTTGGATAACTGAAAAATAGTGTGCTGGCGACAGTGTATCAGAAGCAATTATTTGCGAGAAAGCTAAAAAGATACATGCTGATCTCATGAAAAATCAAGCAGGAACTAGACAGGAAAGCGAGGTGTTTAAAGCCAGCCATTTTTTTTTTTTACATGAGAAGAAATTAATCATTTTTACATTACTTCTTATGGGAAAGGTTGGTTTGGTATATGTCCTATTCAGTATAAGTCCAAACACTTGGAACGGATTAAGGTCGTATACTGAGGTTCCACTGTATATATAAACATAACCAGATGTACATAAGTATCAAAAACAGAACTGTTTGCACAAGACAAATTATCAAACAAAAATTATCTGATATGAAGGAATTTTATCATTTGTAATCTACACTGTGCTTCTATTGCATATTTTTAAATATCAATATATAACTGGTAAATAAAGTTGTTGACTAGTTAGTGATTACAGCATCTGTGGATGTGATAATTCCTAGAGAATTAAGGTACTTCCACCAGTTATATATTGAAATTTTATTGTGTTCACCTGATTTAAGAATATAATCATTAATAAAAAAATAATAATAATGTAATAAAAAGTCAAAATCATTTTATAATGTAATGCAGATCATTTTAAAAGAAAAATTTAATAGCAAAATATTGCTTAGAGAAAACAATATCAATAAATGATTGATATAAAGTTTTTAAAAATCTATTTATAAAGAGTTCAATTTCATATTTACCAAGAGGTTCATAGTATGGATGTCTGGCAAATCTATTATACCATCCAGTTGCAAAATCCTCATGTTCTGGAGAAAGACCAGCAATCTGGCTGGAATTCATTTTGGAAAAGTATGCCCATATATCTTCCACTGGACGGAGAAATATAACATCGGTATCAATGTAGAGTAAAGCATCAATATGCTGAAGTATAGTCTAGAAAATTAACAATAAGAGTTTTATATTAATTTTGATTTTGTGTATTAAATTTTATATTTATTATGAACTGTATAATTAAATTTTTAAAATATGTAACTATAATGTCCAGCATCAAAAATAGTTCATATTAATGAGGACAAAATGTTTCATTCTTTAAAACAAAAAAATTCTCAAGTTTACTACAAAACATCTGAAAAAGCTTTAAGCTCCAATCTCTTCACTGTTTGGCACTATATTTGTGAATCATCCTAATCAAATGAAACTATTTGAATCCAAAACAAATTTTTACACTGTCTTGAATGATCACTGAAAAATTAATGTAATGTAAAGATGATAGTCTTTGTAAAGTGTTTCATACTTTAACTTTTTATTACTAACAAAAATTTGGAGAAGATTGCTAATATATTGCACATTAATAAATATTGCTTTTAATATACAATAAAATATAAATTAAACTTTTTCACAAAGTAAATCCTTTGCTTTTGTCCTCCTTCCATTGTTTTTCACCATCAACAGTCCATCAAAATTTACAAAGATACAAAGACGACCTTCCTTTTGAGGCTACTGCCTCCACAATATAATATGCAAAATATGGTAAAGTGTACTCTGATGCTCCTGCCAATATCATAATAATACATTTCGATAAAAATATTAAGAAAAATATGGTCAACAGTTATTTACATTTAATATACAATAAAATATGCAAAATATACCATATTTTGCATATTATATTATGGAGGCAGTAGCCTCAAAAGGAAGGTCGTCTATGTATCTTTGTAAATTTTGATGTTGAAAAACAACAGAAGAACAAAGAATTTACTTTGTGAAAAAGTTGTATTTATATTTTATCGTATATTAAATGTAAATAACTCGGCCATGTTTTTCTTACTATTTTTACCAAAATATTGCTTTTTTTTTTGGTATATTCTAAGCTTCATTTGTCACTTTAAATTGTATTTTTTCTAAAACAAAAGACTTTATAGTAGTAAAGTATATGATCAACTGCTTTATTTGAGCAAAATCAAAAATATCAGTCAAATACCAAACTAAAGGCACAAACCAGTTTGAGATACTAAGCAGTGTCAATAGCACTTCGAACAGGTAATACAGACAGCTGCCAAGAGTAAAAGGATTCTTTTCATTCTCAACTTGAATGAGACAATAAACTTTCTTCCTCCAAGAAAATACACCTGGTATAGAGCTTTTTCTGGAAATATTTAATGATGATCTATATATCAGGATCTAAAAATCCAACTAACCGATTAGTTATCTTTCTTTGATATCATATTGTCATCTAGTAATTTTTTGCTTTAATCACCACTATTTTTAAATCATATTAAGTTCATTTGCTAGATAATTTTATCTGATTTAATAAAGATTTTTTAATAAAAAGCATTTTGCAAAATCAAAAAGTTATGCTCCTTTATTTAAATTTATTTTGTCATATTGTTTAGTATGCTAATTATTATTCTGTATTATTTTCTTATAGAAGGTGCTGTTATATCGTTTTGCCAAGGTGCTTGCATGCTTAGCACCAGCCCTATTTGAAACAGCCACATGTGAAAAATGTAGCTGTTTATAGAATAAGGAAAATGCATATATGTATTTTACATTATAAAACTGATGTTCTTTGTTGTAAAATATTTTATACTCTAAACATTTTATTAAAATTAATGTTTTTAAAATAAATGTTAACATTATTTCCTATGTTTCCAAATACTAAAATAAAAAGATAAGGTGTATAAATTTATGTATAACATTTGTATAAATTATTGTATGCATAAATATAATGTGAATTAATTTTAAACACTAGTTCAATCTTTTAATGTCGTTTTTTATTTTATAGGGACATTATATGATAAAGTAAGATATTATTTATTATACAACAAATAAAATATATGATATGCTTTAAAATAAAAATGGAAAATTAATTTTTCTTATAGTTTTAAAGTATTAAATATAAACTTGAAAGCTTACTGGAAGAAACAATCGTTGGCAAGCACATAATTTAAATAACTTTTTCCATTCATTTTCAGTGCCTTCTGGAAATGTAATTGGATGTATTTCAAATGAAATTCTTTTAAGTATACTGTCAGGCCAATCAAGCAGCTGCAAAAATAATTTTTCAATTATTCTTTATAAAGTAACAATAATATATAAAATATTGTGTATATAGAATTACATCAAAATTATACAGCATATATAAAAAATAAGTACTATTATTTATATATAACAATAAATGATAATGGTACAATTTGTTTTATCAGAGATTGCTCCAGGATATAAAATCTGAGTCAAATCTTAAAGTTTTCAATTTAAGGTAATTTTTTTAATGTCAAAAAAACAAAAAAATACAATGTTTAAAAATGAAAGCACTTCACTCATCTTCAAACTTTCTTGCTTTGTTGGTATATCACTATATATATGTAATGCAGTTTAACCTTTCAACAGTGGACTAGTCAGGTATGGTTCTACCCCCAGTAGTGGAGAATAAACAAGGAATATTTTAAAAGAATTTTTCCACGCATTTTTTCTCATTACCATTTCAGGAAAAGACTTTGTAAACAGTTATGTCTAGTAAAAAAAAAATTTTTTTTATCGTTACATAATTCATATTTTAGGTGAATTTTATTTTTCGCAGTAGTTTTTGGCGATACTCCCAAAAGAATTTGATGTATATATGCATCTCTCACCACTGCCACACGATTGCCCTGGACATATATATTCGTCCCTCACTGCTGAGTGGTTAATATATAAATTTCAACTAAGCACTCTTGTGAATTAGTTAGAAGCATGGTTATGGGTTCTAATTTTTCGGACTTGCATTGTAAAACAAACATTATTTTAAAAATTACAATTAAATTTTGTTCCTATATTTTATACGTAACATCCTAAAGTATGTTGCTAGAAAATAATTATGGTAACTGAAGAAGATCGTTAAGAAATGATCGCAAACGTTTTTACATTATTAATTTTTATTAGCTGGATTATTAAAGGTGTGTTTTATTAGTAGAAAATAATTATTTTAAAAGTAACATAATTGAGTTTGACTCAATCATGTTATTTTTAAAATTACAGTTGGAGTGTGAAATTTGAAAAGGCATAATATTTCTTATGATTAAAATATTAAAACTTATAAAATAACTTTCACTAATTTGTATAATGTGTGGATGCAATTAACACAGAAGTCAAATTCCAGAAAGCGTATACAAACAAGAGTTTGTGCAACATAGATATGCATTGAAATGCCAAAATATTCATAAAAATGTGTAATTATCAACTTAGACAACAATTTTTCAATTTACATCAAGTGTGAAAATTTATTTGACATAAATAAATAAGAATAAAGTTAAATAAGATTTGTAATTAAAACATAGGTATTTTATAATAAATATTTCTTTAAAAAAAATAAATAAAAATAAATTAACTTCTGGTTAATTTAACAGTAGACATGCAAATAATATACAAGTTCCATTCATGTGTTTTCTCACTGCTAAAGTTAGGGAATAATTTTGTATGCAATTTTTTAAAACTTTGCAATGTATGTTAAATTTGTATACATTTAAATTTAATAAGACATATTTATTGTCCTTTTTCCATTATAAGATCATAATCTTTAGATAAATAAAGACTTTTAATAAAATCCATCCAATGAACAGAGCAATAAGTATAAATACAGATATGTTGCACTAACCTTATATAGCTTTGCAGTTAATTGTTGAAATATCACACTAATGTTTTCGGTCTATCATAAGACCTTCTTCTATAAAAAATTTTTCTGGTCTGATCCTAGTTCAATTTAGCTTCTAATCATTCCAATTTCAAATGCTTCTATTTTTGAATTTATTCTGTGCATGGAAAGCTAGAACTTCTGAACATAAGCAATAAACACTTTTTCTAGTCTATAAAATTTTCAAATATCTGACATTCCAAATATTGTCAAACCTGAGGAAGGCCATTAAAGATAGCCAAAAACATTAGTTTGTTTAAAGAAATTGCTAGAAAAAGTATCAAAGGTTTTATATTACTTATTTCAAATTTATTTTTAAAATTTTAAATTTCCAAAAATGTATGCCTGCACCAGTTATTATAGCACCAGGTCATACATAGTGTGATGTTTCAAAAATTAACTGCAGAACTATATAAGGTTAGTGTGACATATCTGTATTTAAGAACCTTTAAATCTTTAATATCTGTTTATTTTTTAATTTAAGGTTTGAACAATTAGCATAGATATGTACAGTCGATCCCCCTATAAGATCATTGATTTTTCCGTTTTATCTGAATTACATGTTGTACGAGTCACTTAGATTTTACAAATACGTGTGCCGGGCTGTGAACGGCTCACATATTTGTAAAATCTAAGTGACTCGTACAACATGTAATTCAGATAAAACGGAAAAATCAATGATCTTATAGGGGGGTCGACTGTATANCACACATCCGTGGGAGTTTGGAGATAGGAAAAAGTATAGGAATATGTCATATAGAGTAATTTTGGACGGCTATATGTCATGAAGGGTTGCTCATAGAGGTATGGTTTCTTTGACTTTTTTTGTTCCTATGAGTATCTCTACAGCTCTGTTAAGGTTCCAAATGTATCATTCAGAGCTTGAATTGAACCATTAAAAATCTCACTTAAAATTTTACATATAAACATTTCTTATTCAAAATTATTATTTTTGAAATAAATAAAACAAATTCATTTAAAAACTCACAAAAACTCAAATTTATAATTAATTTTAAACATTAGGATCTATTATTGAATAAAACTACACACATTCTAGCACAGGGGTGGACAACAGTTTTTGCCCCTGGGCCAAATTAGAAAGAAAATTTTTTTCATGGGATGAACCAGAGGCTGCCCTAGGAAGATTTTGAGGTGGTGCAAGATCTCATTGTGGTGTCACCCTGTAGAGACTGAATTGTACAGTACAGTACATAGAGATTACAATACATTTTTCACATTATCATGCTTTATCAACCTTCTACGCTGTACTTAAGAGATTTCTAATGGAGGGTTAACTCTAAACGCACAGTGAGTCGTTGACCCTTTTTTTTTTAGGTGTCAGAATTTTTTATCGAGCTATTCAGACTTGAGTAACTAATATTAAAGATTAATCGCGGGCTGCATAAATTCTTTAGATGGGCTGGATCCGGCCCATGGGCCATATGTTGGCCATGCCTGTTCTAGCATCATTTATAAGATGAATAATGATTGCAGAGTGTGAAAATGACAAGAATTCAAGTAGGTAAAATAATTTTCTTTTTGTTAATAAAAAATATAAATTATATTTTTAAAATAAACACTGTATTTAATGCTTTATACTAAAGTTCTGAAAAATGCCAAATTTGACTGCAATTACTCTTGACTTAAGATAAAATAGAGGACACATTCTTCTTTAAGTTAACTTAAGAAAATGCCCTCTATATTCAAAAACACCTGTAATGTCCTCCTTTTCGTAACAATTTGTCCTAGAATTCATCACTACTCATTTTACATTAAAATATAATGCATAAATAATATAATTGCAAAATATCTATATAATTATTTTATGAAATGAGTACCTCTTTATTTTTGAATTTATTTTAGTCTATTTATTGAAATGCTTTATAATTTAAATTATAAAATCAGTATTATCTAATACAATTTTATCTAAATTAGTAGCAAATTTTTGTTACACGTGAACAAGATTCAAAAAGAGTATAACAGTTATTCAGCAACAAAACATCATTTATTTGAAATTACATAATTTGATTGTTATTCTAAAAACATAGGAAGTCATTTATGTCATTTATTCCGGTTTAGATTTAGAGGGTAAAAAAAATTTACAAATAAATTTTACACGTGAACAAGCTTCAAAAAGAGTATAACAGTTATTCAGCAACAAAACACATGATATTTGAAATTACATAATTTTTTTTTCTTTGGTAGCATTTGCATCTATTAGATTTTCAACCAATTTTTCAGCAGCATTAACTATAGTTGTGGCCTTCAGAAATTGATGACATTCTTGCACATTCTCTAAGTGAAATTTCTGCACCCGGTACATCTCCAACAGAAATAAAATTTTCTTTACAAACAGTAAATTGGGTTCTGGAATATAATAGATTTAATATGCCATGTTTGGTACCCAGTTTGTAAAAGTTTTTATCTTTAACTGCAACAACGAAACCTAAAATATTTTTTCCATCACTGCGGGCTCGATCTACATCAGGTACACGAATCCTTACTGTATCATCAACAATAGCTGCTGTNCACTTTCAACCACTTTCAAGCCTATATCTCCCGCACCCTTATAGCTATCGAGACGCAACCACCATAGTGCACAAATGGAGACTTGGGGCTACTACCACATACAAACACCATTCAGGTGCGATGTGTAGTTTTGGCTGAAAAGTGAAATATAGGGACACACACGTCCATTTTTATATATATATAACTAATACAGTAGACCCTCCTATAATACGGGTTCCTATAGTTCGGATTCCTATATGACGGCGAAAAAATTGCGATGGTATCCGTACAAACATGGTAAAAAAAACTCCTATAATTCGGTAAAACGTCATCGGGCAGCCGAACTACTTTCCGCCGTCCAGCGCCACGCTATGGAGAGTTTAGGCGGGTAAATTGAGTTTACTATCGTCTGTACAGTATTATATATAAATTATATATAAATTAGGTACTGTACATATAATTATATATAAATTAGGTACTGTATATATAATTATATATTAACTTAATTTATTGTAACTTTATTATAATTATATTTATACTTTCCGCCATCCAGCACCATGCTACGGAGAGTTTAGGCGAGTAAGTTGAGTTTACTATTGTTTGTACGGTATGTAAATTAGGTACCGTAAGTCTAATACAGCACTAATTTTATACATTTCTTGTGAAAGAAACATTTCTTATTCAATGGCCATAAAAATTATTTCTATTAATGATGTCTCCAAAGTTCAACGAAGTTTTCACAAAAAAATAACTTATCAGAAATCACGCTCGCCATTTGGTGCGCTGCTCCGTGACGAAAACAAGCTTAAGCAATGGTGACGTTAAACAGTGCACACTCGGTAAGTAATCCTACAATTTTTTGTTTATAGCATAGTTTATATGGCTTATTCCCAAAAAAATATACATGTTTTGGAAATGTTGAGTCAAATTAGTCTAGGAATCGATTAATTTTATGGAAGAAAACCTTTCAAACAGCCGTAATCCGTAAACTTCACACGTGTCGGGCTGTGATTGGCAAGGACTCGTACAAAATGGATTCATAAAGAACGGAACGTATCTACCGTGTTATAGGGGGTCGACTGTATATATATTCGTTTAAATATTTTTTTTTATTATAAAACAAAACTTACTCTTTCTTTTAATGAATTTCTATTAGCATCATCTGAAATAATTATGAGATGTAAAGCAGATTTTGATAATGCAACTGCAGATTTTAATGATACCATTGTCTGATTTAATCTTTTACCACAGACCACTACTGCAAGTTGTAAAGAATCAGTTCCATCACCATATCTGAAATTTAAGAAGAACATTAAGTAATAATGAATTAACAAGGATGATCTAGCCACTGTAATTACTCAGCTTAATACACTTTTAACAATGATAAAATTTGAATAAAGCAAGTATTTTTGGCCTAGTTAACAGACCATCCTCATGGACAGATCATTGAAAGTGGAAATGCCTGAAGATGACCTATTAACTGGACTAATAATGTTTTAGGTATTAAAATTTCACCACTGTTAAAAATGCATTAGTTATCAAAATTATATTTATATGAAGAAATCATTTCAAATTTACTAAATAAACCACTTTATTTAAAATATTTTATTTTAATTTTATACACTAGTTTGAAAATACAAATATTAAAAATAATCTTAAAAATAAAAACTGAAACATTAACTCATATATTTGTTGGGAAACTTCAAAAAAATATATTGAGTTTTGAAACTATAATGGAATAACCCTAAAACAATAACTTTATCCTATCCAAGAACCTTAATTTAATTCCAGAGAGATTTAATTCAAAATAAAACTTTTGAACTAACATTTTCTATCTATGAAAGATCATCTTCATGTCCGTACATTCAATGATGGAATGCTTTTTTAGAACAATGACTTTTTGAAAAATTAAATGAAATAAAATAACTTCTTGAATACATAAAAACAATAAAAAACAAAAGTAAATATAAAATAATTAGAAGTACCAAAAATAAAACACTCAAAGAATATATAAAAATCACTCTTCTCAAACTGCACTTACAAAAATAACTACACTTTACAAACCTTTAACATGCAGTCTATTTGATTAAAGTAATCTAACATTTTCAGTCAATTAATTGACCTTCATCAGGATTGAACAATTTTTTGATATATGACAAACGAAACTGATTATGGAACTTTTAACTTCAAAATTTTCTTAACGCCTATTGCGCAAGTCCAAAAATAGATAAATAAAATCTACAGACTTATAATGTACAAATATACGCATACACTAACTATACACAAAAATAATAGTAAAAATAAAAATTAATAATAATAATTAAATAAATAAATAGATAGGTAGATAAATAAACAAGTGATGTTATAACAGGCACCAACTAATGCCTATTTTTTTTAGCTGTCTATGCTTTTTCTTTTTCTGATATGTTCATAATGCACCTGCTCTCCATGCTGCGGAGACTTTATATGATTTTCTAGTTTATAGCCTGTCCTGCTAGACTTCTCTTGTGAATATGCCAGGCCTCTGCATATTTAATGTTGCCTGTCCTGAACCTTTTGTATTATTTCTGCTCTTTTCCATTTCACTGAAACTTCTGTTGGCTCTGCTGTAATATACATCACTAAAGCAGTGACTGGTTGCTCATTCTGTATGTTCCTTTTGTGTTCTTTTATTCTTTTTTTTAATGACCTCCTTGTAGCTCCAATGTAGTACAGTTCTTTTTGCCACCTCTCATCTTGTGCGGGTATTCTGTAAATTCCAGGAAGGTGGCTCTGGTTCCTTGTCTGTACGTAGCATCTGGTATATTGTTGGATTCCTTTTGAAGACTATCTTTTTGTTAGTAGCTGCTCCTATTTCTTTATATATGTGGGTTAAGGGTGCCATATATTCCATTACTACATATTCTTCTACTCTTCCCCGTTCATTACCTTCATTATCTATCTATCTATTTTATTATTATTATTAATTTTTACTTTTACTTTTATTTTTATGTGTATAGTTAGTGTATGCATATATTTGTACGTTATCAGTCTGTAGATTTCATTTATCTATTTTCGGACTTGCGCAATAGGGGTTAAAAAAATTTTTAAGTTAAAAGTTTCATAATCTGTTTCATTCGTCATAAATTGAAAAATTGTTCAATTTTGATGAAGGTCAATTAATTGACCAAAAACGTTAGATTACTTTAATAAAATAGACTGCATGTTAAAGGTTTTTAAAGTGTAGTTATATAAAAATCAACAAGAACATTTCATTATAATGCCTCTACGTCATGTTGTTACATCATAGTTGGTCACCCGATCATGTAGGGATTGCCTTGTATAAAATTTTTGACTTGTTTTTTTGGTCTTCAAAATTAATGCAATGGCCCTTTTAGCCCGATTTAAATATTTCCAACAATTCAAATAAAACATTCTGATGGAGTCTGAGTGTCTTGATCTCTTTTTATGAGGGAAGCCTTGTTGACGAGGGCATGCACATTATCATCAGTTGCATACATGGATAGGATGGTGTTTTGCTTCTTGCCAATTTCATATTTGTGTTCAGTTAGTCTCATTTTGAGAAACTTTGCAGTAGAACTGAGGTATTCAAGTTTGTAGCCAAATCTGTTGTCCCTGAAAGAAACTTTATATATCTCTGGTAATCATAATCATGTAAGTTTTGTCTTTTCTGTTCCTAAGGGTGTTAAAGATGGTAGGGTTGTGCCTAAATGTTAGAAAGTCTAAAAAAGATCAAATTATTTTCTTATATATTTGTAACATGTTGTGGTTATATTCTATAATGATACGTCTTGTGTTCTTATGCTGATTATATAGATTTTCATCGTTAGGGTCCAAGTCACAAATGTTGGAAAACGTACTGGCTAAATTTCTGATAAGGCTCTTGCAGTAATAGTGTGTTGTGGCTACTTTTTCAAAATATTTTAGTTCTTTGATTGTGTCAGAATAATTTATACAATGGGTAAAAGCCCTTTTGGTCATGGTCCTAAAAACTGCAATTATATATATAAGGGTTATGGGAGTTTGCAGATATAAATAAGGGTAAGTATGTTAGTTTGTAGGAGACATTTGTATGGACCCAGTTATTTACAACATTGATTATAAGATCCAGGAAATGTACTTGTATGTTACTGACTTGATTTGATTTAATAGTGAGGCCATAGGAATTGTTGTTGTTTAAGTTATTAATCTCTGGTTTTGTCTTCATATAATAAAAATATCATCAACATATCTTCTGTATATTTCCAATAGGAAATTTGGTAAAACTGTTTTCTCTAATAATCTTATTACCATCTCACATGAATAGTAGTTCTTTGTGTTCATGTAATAAGAAATTGCTAAGAGTGCAAAAGCATGGTTGAAGGTTAATTGGGGGTATAGAGCTATAAAATTTAACATTGTTGTTAATACAGTAGAGCGTTGTTCAGAAAATTGATTTTTCCGATAACCAATTATGTATGAAAAAATACATTATTAATATAATACAAGGTGTGACAATTTAATTCCAGGACTGGTCATGTAGCACTGCAGTGTCAGTGTGCAGAAACTTGTCTAAGCTTGTCATAGTAGTTCAACCATCTGACTACTTGTCTGCAAAGATTTGTTCGTGTCTCGTAACTTGTTCTTTTTCTGTACTCCATTCACATATTGCTGTGAGAAAGTGCTGTCACATTTTTGTCATGGAACAAAAAGCAAACATTAAGTTTTGTTACAAATTGGGTAAAAGTGCAACAGAGACATATGCTCTCATCAAGCAAGTTTATGGGAATGATGCCCTATCCCACTCTTGTGTTTTTGAGTGGTTTGCTCGTTTCAGGGATGGTCGGGAAGACCTTGAGGACGATGCTCGCCCTGGACGACTTCAATCAGTTCGAACACCAGAAAACATTGAAAAAATCAGAGACTTGCTGCAATATGACTGTCAAATGTCTATTCGGATGATAGCAGAGATAACTCGCTTAATCATCACCAAAAATTTGGGCAAAAGAAAAATCTGCTCTCGCTTCGTTCCACGCTATCTCACTGAGGACCAAAAGTGTCTCCGGCTGGAAGTGTGTCAACAGTTCATTCGAGATGTTGATGATGACCCCTCTTTACTGGTTTCTGAAAATCAAAATCACATTGAAGGGACGAAGATTCGACGACCTGGAGGACATACAGCGCAATGTGACCAAGGAATTGAGAGCTGTCAATGGAAGTGACTTTGCCAAGTGTTTCAAGAACTTGTACAAGCGTTGCAAGAAGTGCATTGCCCTCCAGGGGAATTACTTTGAAACATATTAAAAGGATTTTTCATTATATGTTCTTTGTGTCCTTTTATTACCCCAGTCCTGGAATTTAATTGTCACACCTTGTATATTAGTATATCCCAATAATAGTATATTAATATATCCCACGTTTAATTTTTCTCTGTTGCATGCCACTTTGTGTTGAATATTTGTCGATGTTAAGCCTAACGAAAATTTTTATAATAATAATCATGGCTATTATATCGTTAAAAATCATTTCTTTATTTTGTACAAACAAAATAAATATATTGAAAAATATAAAAACAAAAAAAATTATACTTTAGAAGTTAATCTAGTATCAAAAATGTTCAATTCAGCATGACACAGTCTGACTGGAACGCTTTCGGTTAACCGACATTTCAGTTGATCAGCATTCAGATAATCGATGCTCTACTGTATTTGATTTACAAAAACTCCATCTAGCTAATACTGTTCCTGGTAATGCACTGCAAAATCAGCAGCACTCAAAAAAGTGCTGATAAATAATAATGATAATTATGAATATCTAATATCGTTCATATTACGGTGTTAATTATAAATGAAAATAAAACTCAAAAAGTCATATTTTGTTAAAAATGTTTACAAGTAAAACAATATCTGGTCATTTAGGAATAAAATTTTGCAAAAAGATGTTTTATTTAAAACCATGTATTCAACAAAATAAATCAAATTCATGTTTAAGAAGCTAAAAGTATACCAAATTATTTTTTTTTGCTTTCTCATTATATTTCATTGCATAATTACAAACAAGTGCAATTTTAAGCAAGAAGGAAATTTCTAAACAATTTCTGCTTTGAAATTATTTGGATGATTTAGCATTTTCTGACACGATAGTTTGATTGTACTGTACATTACAATATATAATCAAAGAAATCATTATAATATCATTTTAAACAGATATTTTGAATTTAACTATACATAAAACTAGTATATAAAATAATGGAATAAAACTTTGTACTACATTGTAATTTAAAAGAGTAAACTTTTAAATTCAAGAAAGTAAAAATTATTCTTTATTCAGTAAGGTTTAGGGCCATTCTCAGATTTTCAGGAAAAAATTACTTGAATTGGATTTTATATTTGAGTAGAATCTATCAAGTGTTTTATAAATTAAGAAATAGCATTCTTAAAATGGTATTTCTTATCAAAAAAGTATAACTAGTACGAAAGGTTGAATTAAACTTTTTAAATTAAATTTTGAAATTATCATCAAATCCAAAGAAAAATTCTTTATTTTGAAAATAAAACACACACATCCGTGGGAGTTTGGAGATAGGAAAAAGTATAGGAATATGTCATATAGAGTAATTTTGGATGGCTATATGTCATGAAGGGTTGCTCATAGAGGTATGGTTTCTTTGACTTTTTTTGTTCCTATGAGTATCTCTACAGCTCTGTTAAGGTTCCAAATGTATCATTCAGAGCTTGAATTGAACCATTAAAAATCTCACTTAAAATTTTACATATAAACATTTCTTATTCAAAATTATTATTTTTGAAATAAATAAAACAAATTCATTTAAAAACTCACAAAAACTCAAATTTATAATTAATTTTAAACATTAGGATCTATTATTGAATAAAACTACACACATTCTAGCACAGGGGTGGACAACAGTTTTTGCCCCTGGGCCAAATTAGAAAGAAAATTTTTTTCATGGGATGAACCAGAGGCTGCCCTAGGAAGATTTTGAGGTGGTGCAAGATCTCATTGTGGTGTCACCCTGTAGAGACTGAATTGTACAGTACAGTACATAGAGATTACAATACATTTTTCACATTATCATGCTTTATCAACCTTCTACGCTGTACTTAAGAGATTTCTAATGGAGGGTTAACTCTAAACGCACAGTGAGTCGTTGACCCTTTTTTTTTTTTAGGTGTCAGAATTTTTTATCGAGCTATTCAGACTTGAGTAACTAATATTAAAGATTAATCGCGGGCTGCATAAATTCTTTAGATGGGCTGGATCCGGCCCATGGGCCATATGTTGGCCATGCCTGTTCTAGCATCATTTATAAGATGAAAAATCATATGTATGCAGTAACAGTTATGTTGTATTATATTAATGTTTCCTTAGAATAAAAGTTAGAAACTGGCTCTATTATATTCTGGATATTCATTTAAAAATCTTCAATTATCAAAATGTTGATTCATATAAAATAAATGTATAAAGTGATTTATTTGCAAATTATTAACATAGTAAATATTATTGTGACATCTTCACAATTCAGGGCTGCAATTTTTAATCATATTTTTAATTTATTTAATTTTCTTTACAAATTTGGAACCATGTATTCCTGTTTTCTTTGTTTCTTCAGCAAGATGAAGTGCAATTAATTAGAAACAAGGCAGTTTTTTTCTTCATTCTTTATTTATTCATTGATCGATATGCGTTTCAGGTCTTTGATACTTCTCTTTTCAGTCAACTTTTTATTCTGTTGTTTATAATTTCAAATATATCAATTTTATTTGTATAATAATAAAACATATTTCTTAAAAAGGGGGTACATTCATGATTATCAGCTTTTTCCTTTTCTTCATTTGACTTTTTATGGTTTGTAGTCTTGTGTCTAATTAATTGCACTTCATCGTGCTGAAGAGACAAAAAAATAATAATAATAATTTATTCAATTTAAAATATATGCTCTCAATCTGAAATTAGTAGGGTCTTGCCCCTGTACATTATACTTTTCCTGATAACAACAGAGCATGCCAGTCATCTATATAACTCTGTTCTGGGAAAAATTTTTGAACTGAAATCATGTGACTTATGGCATAGAGTCCGGATGTTCATATATAGTTAATTGAGGCCTTCTGCTCCTAAGTATTCCATATCTGATCTCAACTTTTATCTATCTAACACTGTTCTCAAGATTAAAGAAGGACAAGCAGACACCAGACAAGCAACAGTAGAAATTTATAGGTCTATAATTTTTTCAAATTGCAGCCCAATTATATTTCTTTACTTCACAAATAATAATTTTTAATGTTTTACATCTTAAAACTTTTTCTTACAGTTTAAAATTATAAAATCATTTTTTTTTTAATTTTTTAAGCTAACTGCTACATTGACAAATCTATATATGGCCATACATAGTATACTAAATTGAGTTTATACCTGCATATGCATGGATTTAAGCCAAAGCTTTTAATACAATTAGCAATAGTTAACAATAGTCAACTATTTTCCAAAAGCACAGATACTATAAGTCAGGACTAGTAAACAATTTCAAGTCCGCATGCTAAAGCAGACATATAAAACTTTAAAAGAATTTGTGAAGTAACTGTTACTGAGTGTTGAACTGATTTTTGAATTACTATAAACTTCATATTAAAATAATTTTATACAAGTCGACCCCCCTATAACACTGTTGATTATTCCGTTTTATATGAATTCCACGTTGTACGAGTCACTTAGATTTTACAAATATGTGTGCCGGGTGTGAACAGCTCACATATTTGTAAAAACTAAGTGACTCGTACAACATGGAATTCATATAAAACGGAACAATCAACAGTGTTATAGGGGGTCGACTGTATTGTAAAATTATTGATTGATTATTATTTTTGTGAATATTATACAGTATATAATATATATCAGATCTATATTTTTTAAGATAAAAAATCAGTTTTTGATTGTTTTTAAAACAAAAACCACAACAATGAATCAAAAATACTTTCTCCAAAAAGTTCCTGCTGGATTATAAGGTTTTGTGTTTTAGTGTGATATAATTATTTTGGAAAACACTTTATTTCAAATAAATTACTTATTCTAATAGCATGATTTTTGTTTTTAAATGAAAAGTTAAACCACAAAATATAATATCAGTATATATCACTCTTACTGTCACTTCACTATTAAGACACTTATTCAAGAAGAAAAGTCATTTTAAATTAATACTTAATCTATTTTGTGTTTTTATTGTTATCAAAATTAATATAAATTCTTATAAACTATTATTGCACATTAATAGATAACCAAAATGAAGATCAAAACAAAGATTTTTGTTAAGATTGCTTTTATATCTATTTAAAATATTTCGATACATAATTAAAAATACAAAGTAAGAACTAAAAGAAAAAATTTATTATTTGCATCTTAGGATTAATCATGGTAATTAAACACTATTAAGTTGTTATGCTCTTTTAAATTCTTAAATTAATAATGTAAAACTATAAAACAAAAAAATCCAAAAAGAATAAAACAAATTCCATTGATGAGTATTCCTAAATGCAAATTTTTTTTTGTTTACAAAAGACTTCATTAAAACTTTGACATACAGGGGCAGATCTAGGTTTTTCAGGGCCTAGGGCTTATTGAAGTCCAATGGAGCCCCATTTTTTGTTAAAACTATAAATTATCAATATTATTATAGTATTAACTATTTTTTACTATACGAACTGCTCATTGTTAATGATAAAGTATTAAAATTATGATGATAATTCAATTTTTGTGGGCCCTTGACACTTGGGGGACTAGGGCTTAAGCTCTATTAGTCCCTATGCAGATTTGCCCATTGACATACACCTGTAAATTTGGCAATTGCTTATAAACCATACACCATACATATATTAATTTAATGTTAATTAAGGTAAGGTTAATCTTTACCCATGTGCACTGTCATGGCTGCACAGTGGGGACTCGCATCCTAAAATAGCCTAACCTGTTCTAATAAATTACCAATAATTATTAGAATAGGTTAGGTTAGGTTAGAACATGGTCCCCACTATGCAGCCATGACAGTGCACATAGGTAAAGATTAACCTAATATAATAAGAACCAATATACAACATACCTTAAAACTGCATTAGATTTTATATTCACGTTTTCCTCCATTTTATCCTGTAAACTGAATATTTTTTGCTTAAGAATAGATTCATTTCCAGACTTAAATATAGAAATTCGACTGTTTCTCTTTCCATGATTTGGACGGTTAGAAATGCGGTTGTAGCTGACATATAAATCGCACAGGCAATATATAACGCCAGCAATCAATATATATAACAGCAGAAATTTTTTCGTACCAAATTTTACCCTTAACCACATTTGAAGTCCACTTTTGAACTGATTAATTTAAATTCGTTCAATACACATTTCATTATTTTAGTTACCAAATATAAAATTTAATGCTTTAAGTTTACGAAAATTACTTTCGAACTTCCTAATTACGCTGTTAAATGTACTTCATCCATGTACTTGACGTTTCGATTCTAAATGTAGCAAAAATCTTGTTTAATAATTCGAATTTTCAATTAAATAAAAATTTTCCGCCAATATATATACACTCACTCTTTTTTCTATTGTTTACATCTACTATGGCGCCCTCTGATTATTTTTTAGTTTTTTTTTTTCGAAATTTTTAAATAAATAATTTTGTTACGTAAAATAAATAAAATTATGTTTTTCGATATCAAAACTTGTTAATATAAATTAATTTAATATTAAACTTGCCACGTTTTTTTAATAAGTGAAATTGAAATTATTACTGAAACTATATATTTTTTTTAATTAACTCTTTCCGTCCTATGGGCACTAAGAGGGCCTCTTTTAGCAAGCCTATTATGGGTGGGCAGCCGAATGGTGAGGGACAGGACCCGACATATTCGGACGGACAACCCCCCTTGAAAAATTCCTGTAGATTTTTTGACCCGTCCGGATTCGATTCCGGGTCCCCAGAGCGATAGGCTGCCATCTAGGAGCGCTAGATCATCCGGCCATAAAACTGTAATTTAAAAATGTAACCACTTAAAACAAATTATAATTATTCTGAAAATCTGTTTTAACTAATTAAGTAATTACAATACTCAATACCAAATTTTACAAATATGGTCTGGAAATCCATCCAGATAGGTCAGATCGAAGTCTAATTCGCTTCAGGATCGGTGTTGTTGTTGTTTTTTGTTAAGTTAAGGCAACACAACACTTGGGCGATTTGCCTAGGGGAATACCTTTCGGGAGGTCTTTTTAAGGAAAACTGGTCCCTATTTAGACGTTACAGACGTGGAGAAAACCCGGAAAACTCCACGTGGCCAGCCCGTGCGAGCGAGGTGCGAACCCACGACAGAACTTCCAGTGTTCAGGGTACGAAGACCGCTTGGCCACTGGTGTTGGGCACTTGGCATATTGAGGATCGAACCGGGTCTTATAAACATGCAGTCATTCGTCAATTAATAAAGAATTTAAATTTGATCATTTTTACAAATACTTTTATATTATAATATATTTTTATAACAAATTTTACGTGGTGAAATGTGTAAAAGTAAAATATTACTATATAGTTTCGAAATTAATCATTTGATTAAAGCGAAGACAAACGATCGTTTAATTTATATTTGGTAAACATAAGTCATAAAATGTAGTAAATTTTAATGGTATTTCTAATAATGTTTGAAAGCTTTGTGAAAAGGCGCAATTAATCTATTAATAACATATTTTTAATTTCCTTTTCCATGTTCATATGAAGTGAATATATAAATCTATTTTGAGAAAGCCTGGTCTTTGTACTGTACATGAATAAGATTATCAATTATTAAGTAATAATTTTATATGGTCATTTATTAAACAGAAAAGCAAATAAAATATATATTTTTTCTCTCTATTATTGTCTAGTTAAAACCAAAACTACTTTGAAAATTATTACTGACAGAATGAAATGAAACCAGATAAACTGATAAATAAATTCAATGACAAATTATATATAACGAAGAAACTGAAATTAAGGAGTAGGAAAGGCTATAACTATATTTGAAGTTTTTGAGTTCAGAGATTTTTCATGAAATAGTAATCAACCTTTTGCTCAACTTCTAACTTTCTACAGTGATGAAATTTCTGGGATACACGAGACGCGATAAACTAAAAAATAACAAAAATTAAATATCTTTTTATAAGAGAAAAGTTACTTGAAAGTTAGCATCTATTCTATCTGTTTGTTAAGTTATGGCAATGCAACACTTAGGCAATCTGCCTAGGGAATGACTTCCGGAGAATCTTTTTAAGGAAAACTGGCCCCTATTTAGGCGTTACAGACGTGGAGAAAACCTGAAAAACTCCACGTGGCCAGCCCGTCCGACCGAACTTCCAGTATTCAGGGATGAAAACCGCTTGGCCACTGGTGAGCACCCTATTCAATCTGAGTTTTGTAATGACTACAAAAAAATTTTTTTTAGATATTTACTGTTTACGTAAATCAAAGCATTTGACAGAGTAGAAGTGTAGAAAAACGTCGAAATGCTAAATAGGCTATGATATATTTGAATCATTACATTTACAATTTATTCCTGCATTATCTTTGAATTGAGTCATAAAATATTCTTTTATAATTTCAGATTTCTCTTCTTGTTTCAAGTTCCTTTATCTAACGTTCATATGTTCTTTTGTTTCTTTTAATTAACAGTCAGTACTGAAATGCCCACATTTCTGTGCATTCCCTTTATACTTTTTTCATGCATGTCTGTAATCCAGGCCCACAGTGACTCAAAAAACAAAAACAAAAAACAATAAAATCCATCTTATAATATGTTTAATAATTATTTGGATATTAATAGGTAACTGAAAATACTTACTTTTATGAAATAAAATATTAAATTTAATTGGAGTTTTAAAATTATCTAAATAAAGATTTTAACAACATTTTATTTAAATTTTCCAATAACTACATTGCAATTTTACTAAACAGACTATAGACTTGAACAACATTTATATTATTAAACTCGATAATACCGGAAAAAGCCTGTACTTTTTTACATTGCTTTCTGAATAGCACAACAACATTTTACAAAATCATAGAATTGATGCAATGAGAAATGAGCGTAAAAGGATGGAAAATTTTATATTTCCATTATTAGCATATTGTTAATAAATAACAAGTAATTTATTAAAAATCGCTAATTACTAGGAGAATTATTAGATAAAAATAATTCAAGTTGCGTAACTGGAGAAAGTAAGCATTATTAATAAAAATATTTAAAAATATTTAAGACATTTTTACCAGGTATTTTGAGAGACGTTCTGATCCCGTCCATAGAAATTATAATATAATTACATATTTTATAAGAATCAAAGATTTCGAAGATAATTAAATATGTATTTTAAAATATTATTCTCGTAGAATTGCGTTAGGGACTATTTTATTTTCAGAAATGATTTTTTCTATGGTATGACCGTTTAGAAACTTACCAATTAGGAACTCTATAAAAGTTGTTCTTCAGAAAATAATCACGAATTATAAAATAGAAACAAATTATCTCTCTAATATGACCTCTAATTAGCTCTTTAAATAATAAATATCAGATATTAGATTTTCTTTGACTTAAACTTTATTCGTACAATGGAAATCAACAAAGATTCACGATTTAATGAAAAGTAATACAAATCGATCAACTTAAATACACTTTCTTGTAAACTCTTTCCATCCTTAAAGCACCAAAAGAGTTTTTTTAAAAACATATTCATTATGAATTCTGCCAGGATCGAAATGGGGTAAGCCGGATGGAGCTGACCCATCTCTCACATTAAAACAGGATTCCAGTGAAAAATTTCTTCATTCTGAGTAGATTTGAACCCGGATCTTCCATCACTTCGCTTAAAAATACTGTAGACGGACACCAGAGAACATGACATAAAATAATTCTTGAATGTTTATACTACAAATATGTATACTGTCTACCAATAGCAAATCCAGAAATATTTAGAGGATGGCGCATAAAGAAAACAGTTTGCATTAAAAATTTTTTTACTACCTGAGATACTCGACATCTGCACCCTACTCACTCCTGTAAATCCACTTCTGCTGTCTACTTGACTTAATTTTTCTAATTTTAAATAGAATTAAAAAGCTTCGAAAACAAATTTCAAATCGTTTATTAACTAATATACTACCCACTTATTTCTGTTAATACAAATTTTTCAGTTACTGTATTTTGTACATTTGATGCTTTTTGCATACATCGTAGCCTACTGTACTATGTATCTTTATATGTACAGTACAGTACTGTACAGTACTGGGTTAACGGATTCCTAGCTGAGAGAGAGAGCTTACATTATTACCGTGATGCTAAATACCTTGATAACTTGATTAATGGGTTGAGATCATAGATCGTAGATCGCTTGATGAACGGGATCGTAGATCGTTGAGGAAATTCGAGTTCATTGTGTCGGCTTATCAGGGTTCTCGGGAAAAAAGGTGTTTTGTTTCTATTTATCAGGGTTCTTGGATCGAGAAGTTCGAATGTTTGGAGAACGGCGGCGATGGACAGGAACGGCGGTCGAAGAGATTGGCGATGATGGAGCATGATTAAACTACACTCACATGAAAAGGAGGTGGTCGGCTAACTCTCGGACCCCGACAACTCTCTCGTTCTCGATTTTACCCTTTTATTTCGGGGTCCTCCCCTTGATTTTGACGCCTTCTTTAAGCCATGTTACTATTTTCGACCAATGGTGAATATTTGTAGTTAGTTCCCTGTGACACATTCGATGTGTAACCTGGGAAAGGAAGTGACTCTGGAGTGAAAGATGCGGTAATTAAATTGAAATCTTTTTCGCTGGGATTTGAACCAATTTAACTTTCGGAATATGAAAATTTTTTCCCTCAAAAATTTCATCAAGTCCGGGTTCTCATACTAGTAAGGAAACGAAATTGATTTGATATTCATAGCAAAGTATCACATCCAAATTAAATCGTAAATTTCATTGTATTATCCAGTTGTATCAAAGCCCAATTACATTAAAATTTGAACTTTTATATAATACAAGTTGTATTTATTACATGAAAATTTTGGTCTGTAGTTAGATTTAAATTTATAATTAACGATTCATATTAACTCTATAGAAATAAAAATGAATTTTAGTTGATTAAGTCTAAAAACAACAGGCAGTTAAACTATTAATTTCAACACGTTAATTTTAAATTAGCGATTTAAATTTTTTATACTATAGTTTACTATTTATTTTTATTAGCTTAAAAGTTATGTTTATAGTTACTCTCAGTAACTATATATAATTACTTCCAAAAAGAATTCTACCCTTTTAAATTATTGTAATTGTGTTAATTATTATCTGAGAACGTTGCGATGTACTGTACAGCACAGTACATTAAAACATTAAAAACTGTCCAAGTTTCTCGTTTGCTCATTAAAATTTCTGAGTGTGTGCATCTCCTGTCCCACTGCACACATCCAACCGATACTCAACTTCCTTCTAGGCTTACCCATTATCATTCTATTCCACAGCAGTCACAATTCTATAGCGCCTGCAGATTACTCCTATTGCACAATGATAAATTATTCCGACTTTGAGAACTGCAGAACACAAAACGACTTCTGAGAGGTAGTAAATGACAAGATATTCGATGTACAGTACAGTGCATCGCATACCTCTCAGATGATAATTAACATAATTACAGTGATATAAAATGGTAGCATTAATTTTAGAAGACCTTATACTGTATCTACAATAAAGTTTCAATGTGGAAACTTAATTTTAATCATTAACAAATTATTGTAATTGTAAGAAGGTGACACTAAATAAATCTTATCGAAATAAAATATCGAGTAAAAGTTTCATTGCTTTGAATTCTTTTTTGTAAACATATTTTGATGAGCATTAATTAGCTATTTAAGAATATGTCTTAATTTAAAATTAATAATAAATATATTTATTTAGGCCTACTTTGAATTTTTCTTACAGCATTTTTCTTAATGGCTGTTCGTTTTAAATTATTTTCTGTAATGTTTTTATTTATTTATGTTGATGTGCAAAGTGATATGGCAATTTACATAAAGTCAAGTTTTTAGTTTATAATCTCTATGGAGAAGAAGCAAATAAAAACTATGAAATGCATGTATCGTAGCTGCAAACTATAACCAAGTACCAGTACTTGAAATATAATAAAATTAATAAAATTTAAAATATCCAATGGGGTAGAAAATTTAAATTCAAAAACCTCTTTAAAAAACAAGAGGAAAAATTATTCAATCTGTTCCGACTTTAGAGGTGAATAACACATTCAAATAACACGTATAACAACATACATACAAGAAAGACATCGGCCGTACAGTACACGAAATGTTTAGCCGACAAAAAAGAGGGGAAGAAAAGGGGGAGGGGAAGAAGGAGGGACAAGACACAGATAAGATTTCTCTGAACGGCGTACATAAGGCTACAGTACTCTCTATGTTTGATGTTGGCGTGCAGTTTTTAGGCTGCAAAGCCGTAGTCCTCCGAAGGGTCTAAAAGAAAACCTGAGTGTAGCGAACACCAATAATTGAGTGCCGTCACGAATAGCTAAGTGTAGAAGTTAGTGCCAAGTGGCCATTAGTAGGAAGACTTATATCTACTTAATACTAATAAAACTGAACGCGATCGCGAATCTTAAAACTACTTAACAGCTAGACAGACAGCGTGAAAAATAAACGAAAACAATGGCAACTAGACGAGACGAACCGACTGGCAGAGACAAACGAGCAAGACCCTAAAATTTTTATTTATTTATTATTATTACTTTTTTTAAACGTTAAACTAAACTAACCTACCATAACCCAGGACTAACCTAACCAGACGACTAAAGCTAACAAACCATAATCTAATTTAACCTAACCAGAAACCAAGCTTAGAGTCCCTAATCTAACTTACAACTAAGACTAACCGAATTTATTGATAGACTGAAAAGAAAACGGAAAAAAGAGATTCAAAATACAAAGTTGGAAGGCAGCTATATACCGACAGTTGAAACAAAGCAAGGGTAAGCTAACTGCCATTCGTGCTCCCGGAGTAAGTGCTCTCAAGAACCCCACTAAGGCATATGAATGTGAGCAGATGATGGAACATTGTATGTGTGTGAATGAGTTGGTGCGGGCTGCAACGCCAATTGTACCCTTCAAGAATACCAGCTGTCATTAAACTATCCCTTATGTGATTGTACTGTACCTATTGCAGCCGAAAACTAAGTGAAGTGTTGTTTGGTCCTCCCGAATACCACATCGCATTGTGGGTTGTCCCCAAGGTTAAATCTATGTAAGAATTGCTTAAAATTGCCGTGTTCTGTAAGTAGCTGAGTGAGGGTGTAACTAGAGTAAAAGTGGAGAAGGATCGCAGTAGTGTCAACCTTGGGAATGAAAGTGTAATTGGTGTCGTGGCCTACCAGTGGTGTCATGGTCCCAGCTGTCTTGCCAAAGAATGAAGATTTGCTTCTTGACGTGATTGTTGATGTACGAGGTAGGAATGCAACTGAAAGTACTAGTGACTGAAGACTTTGCAGCTTGTTTGGCAAGAGAGTCAGCGGTCTTGTTGCCAAGAACCCCGCATGATCCGAGACCAATTGGAAATCTATTCTAATATTGTTGTCTAAGTATCTGAGAACGTGGTGTATGAGATGGACGAGTTTTAAGCGGCTATCATACTTCGCAATCCTGCGTAAAGCTACCCTACTATCAGAATAAATGCGATAGTGTAAGTAGTGTTTGTTGTCCTTCCCATGACTAATGTGAATTAAACTGATATAAATAGGTAAAGTTTCTGCCTGTGCTATTGAGCAGTGTGTACTGTATGTACTGTACCTAGACGGAAGCAAGCGTTGTGAAGCTCGCGACCTAAGTCGGAGTAAACTACAAAAGCGGCACCCACATCGTCACACCATCTTGGAACCGTCAGTGTAAATCCTAAACATGGGACGATCACCTGGATCTTCGAAGTAAACATCAGGGACAAGCTGATGGGAGGGGTGGTAATCATAAGTCGGGAGAGTATTTTTGTCGATGCTGAATTTTTGATATCATCAATCAAGGTCAAACTGGGGGAATCCGAGTCACTATAATCTCGCCAGGATAAGGTGACGAGATTTTACTGCCAAATAATGCGTTTAATTCGTAAGTCGATAGGGGTCAAACCTGACATTACCAAATGAGCACTAGTGGGTGAGGTCCTATAAGCTTATTTTCCCTAATTTGCTTTATTTTGTGAGAACCTATTCGAAGCTTCTTGACGAGTGGCGCGTTCCTACCAATTATCATGATTTCAATTTGTCTGTGTTAATGCTTATGCCTATGCTTAAAACTCCACTGGTGAATGTTATTGAGAATTTCGTTGCATATGTCCCGTAAGTTTTCACTGTTCCTGTGCACCTATAACAACAAAGGAATTATTTACTTGAAATTACAATATAATTATAATATACTTCTTATAAAAAATGTCTTACCGTAATTTCTCCATTAGCACAGTAATTTATTTTGATATATCGTAATATTCACAGTGATATTAAATAAAACTCAAAATTAGTAAATACTAAATCACTATTATGTTCTTTATTATGTTTAATTAGGGGAGATCGGGGCAAGATCGGCATGTTAAGCTTTACTTAAATTTTGTGTAATAAATACTGCTGTAAACTGAAAAATAAGCTTTGCATATTGTCTATTGGAATGTTACTTTACTATAGAACTGGTTAAAATCAGTTTGGAAATAAAAATAATTAAAATAATTACAACTTTACAAGAAGAGAGAAATTGACGAAGTTGCCCCGGGTATAGGGGCAAGATCGGCAATTTCTCTCTTTTTGTAAAGTTGTAATTATTTTAATTATTTTTATTAAAGTTGCCCCTGGTATAGGGGCAACAGTAATGGGGCAAGATAGGCACGTATATAAAATTATGTTATTAACAATGTATAAGTTGGAATTCACTATTAAAACAAAGAAATACAAATCCAACACCCATTTAATATTATTATAACGAAATGCAAGTTCAAAGACATATATACATGAATAACAAATGCAAACATGTTTTCATTTATCATCTGTTCGATTTTTATCCTTTGCTTCTAATGTGGCTTTATGTTGCCGATCTTACCCCGCTAGTCATGATTTCGAAACATTAAGTACAACCCTGAGAACAGAATGCTAAGCCATGATCTGGCCACGTGAATAAGTTGAAGTTACATCCTTCTAACAGAAAAAGTAACTTTCGTTATCATGGAATTATAACAAAACCTGCCAATTCAATATAAATGGAAAAAAAATATTATATGGAATTCAACGAAAATGAAAATTTGCTTGATAATTCAACTACGCTTGTTGGAGAACAATAAAAACACTACACTCAACAAGCCACTAATAAAACTCAACTGCCTAACCTATAACCAAAGTCTCCTTTTAATTTGTTTTTTAAAAAAAGCGCTTGACAAACTTGCCCCGCTTTCCGAAGTTGCCCCGATCTCCCCTAATTATGTTCGTTTTAAAATTCTTAATTTTTTTGTAGGACTAATTAGATTTTTATACACGCCTAAGAAATTAACTCATTGGAATATTTTGTTTCATTTATTTACTTCTTGTAACCTGTATGGCTTAGATACAGGAAATGAATAATACCATTTTAAATTACTGTAGTTATGTTAATTATTATCTGACAAGTATGCGATTGCACCAATCGATAGAATAACTTTCTGAGTTTATCTCCCATCTGCATTCAAATTTCATGTCGTCTAATACCTCTGGGAAGCGCCGTAAACGAAACGACTCCTAAACAGACAAGATGTTTTGTGTTCTACAATTTGCGGAATCACTCGTAATCGTGTAACATGAGTAATCTGTAGGAGCTGTAGAATTGTGGCTGCTGTGGGGAAAAGTGACAACGAATATGCTGTAGCGATTGTAGGAAGAATTTGAGTATCGGTTGAATGCGTGCCGTGTGACACGACGTGTACACATTGAGAAATTGTAGTAAGCAAATGTAAAATTTGAGACAGTTTTCCAGTGTTTTAATGTACTGTACTGTAAATTACAACATTCTCGGATAATAATTAACATAATTTCAATAATTTAAACGAGTAGCATTCTTTTTGGAAGACCCTGTATAAACAAACTTGTTTAAACTTCTTTCGATTATTTAAATTGTATTTTACATATTATAAGTTTAAAATACTTCGTATAAAGCCGTATAATTGCATTATTTATTTTATATAAAAAGAGAAAAAAAGTAAAGTTTATTTATCAAAAATTTACTTTTATAAGGATTTTCACTTAGTTGTAACACAATTCTATCTTTAGTTCATAAACAAACTAGATTAAATTACATTAACAATAACACCATTGTCGTCAAGTTTGCTTAAGATTAATTATTATAAATTATTTTGTCATTTTAATCTCATTCGTAAATTAAATGTTCCAAAAGTTAATCTAATACACTTTAAACCAATCGGATTAAACTGGGCGTGTCTTAAATTCAATAACCACACCTATAAAAATGTTAAACAACAATTATTGGTCGAAAATAAATTTATCATTCAATAACCAATCGTACATGATCCGCTCTGAAGAAATTTGTAATTTAATGCTATTAATAAAATAAAAATGTAAGTTTTTAGTACTTGAATAGATTTTTATCGACATTATTCGAGAATAAACCGCAGACATTCTTAATTGTTCTCCGTTTAAGATGAATAATGAACATTCTCTCATCAGTACCACTCAAGTTTCGTCTTGTGTTAATTATCAGCAATTCCGAAACGAAAATTCAGTTAAAAATGATTGCAACTTAAAAAATGACGCGGAAACAAAGAAACAGTTGGCTAAACCTCCATATTCTTACATAGCTCTAATTACCATGGCTATACTGCAGTCTCCAGAAAGGAAATTAACACTGAGTGGCATTTGTAATTTTATAATGAATAGATTTCCATATTATCGTCAAAAATATCCTCTTTGGCAAAATAGCATACGTCATAACTTGTCGTTAAATGATTGTTTTGTTAAACTTCCACGTGAGCCTGGAAATCCGGGAAAAGGAAATTATTGGACATTAGATCCAGCTAGTGAAGATATGTTCGATAATGGAAGCTTTTTGCGGAGGAGGAAGAGGTACAAGAGGCAGTTATTCAATCCTTATTCGTATATACCTTGTTGCTCGTCAGTTTGCTCTTGTTTGGGTTCTTGCTCGTCGGTTAATTACTTCCTACCTCCTTTGCCCAAACCTGCAATCGAAACGATCGAGTCCAAAAAGATCAAATTTTCTATTCAAAGTATTATAGGAGAAGAAAGATAATTAACATTAATATGGTAATACTTTAATTATATTTAATAATAATAGTCTACTTAAAAATTACTTTACTTCGTAAGTAGTAGGCCTATATACATATTTATAGACGAAATAATTTAGGTTAATGGATAGAATATTTATAAAGTGCTTTTAGTGTTATAAATGTTTCAAAGTTAAAATTCCTATATTTAACAATTTAAAATAGTTGTTTATTATTTTAAAAAATTGATATCGAAAAATTAATTAATATTATTTAGTAAATACTTCGTAACACTAGGCCATATTTAGTTAAATTAGCGATATACTGATTAAAATATTTAACTAATTTTATTGTATTGTATAGTATTAATTAAAATAATTAATTAAACTTACATTTAATCTTAAAAGCTGATGCTTCATTGTATGCAATATAAAATATCATTCAGTTCTTAATTCATTAAATTATTTGCTAGCCAGAGGCAATTTTAATATTAGTTATAGAAAAGGAAAGATAATTTTTATCATCCACCCAACTATGCAGTAACATATTGAATTAAATTCTTTTAATTACACTACATAATTTTTTATTAATTATAACGAAATATGTATAACATTTATAAATTGATGTGTAATAAATATATATTTAGCTACTTATAATAAATGAAAGATACTTAAATAAATAGATTAATGTATTATCTGTGGTAAATCGAACTGAAATAGTTCAACGCTTTCATTATTAATGTTAAGTTTTAAAAACTTTCACTGCTTAAAAAACAATTTAATTAAATTAATATAAATCTAAATATTCGTATTTATTAAAGATTAAATTAAATTTTAAACTTATTTTAAAGCAGGACATCTTTAAACGTTATTAAATGTATATATGTATATATTAAATGTATAAGTTTAATAACGTTTAAAAGTGATTCGATTATATTATTTTTCTTCAATTTATGTTCCGATTTTTATTCTTAAATGCATCTGATAGATATAATTATCAACAAAATTAAGAAAAATTTAAAATTTTTCATAATAATAAACTAATTTATCGAATATTTCTATCCTTATACACAAATTAACCTACAAAAAATTAAAGATTTTACATACAGTAGACTCTTGATATGGAGACTACTCGATAAAATAAACAGTTTTGTTGATCCTTGCTATTTTTTATGTATGTAGGAAACTTTTAATATAGTGAATGATTTCTCAGTCGTTTCAAAGATCAGTATATCGAAAGTCGACTGTATTTAGACTCTCTCTAAATACTACAGGCTAATATGCCTAAGAAATCAAACAATTATTCTTTAATTTTAATAAATTAATTTGTTGATTTAAATTAATAATTTAACTTTTATTAAGATAAATTGATAACATAATTAGAACTGAAATAGGGATGGTTTTGAAATTAAGCACGCTTTTAAAATTACTAGTATAATTATTTTGCGTAGTTAAAAGGGAAGAAACATTGTATACCTATATTAGAATTAGATCTGTAATTATTTAGTTAACTGTAGAGGATAGGAAGAAATTCTAGAATTAAAACTAACATTAATTAGAATTTCACGAAGAAATTTATTTATTATAATTTATAATAGCAAAACTTTGAAATAATATTTTCTTTCGAAGATTTGAAATTTTATTCGCGAATGGAATTGTTGTTAATTTCATTTTTATAAACAAATTATTATTATTATTATTATTATTATTCCAATAAAACTTCGAACAAAATGGCTATGATATATTAAAATCTTTTTTACGACTTCTTTAACAACGTATAACATAAATCAGTTCGATAAATTTATCAAAACAGACATAAATTTTATCATTTATAATAAAATAATTTATCATATTTAATTTTTTGTAAGAATTTCGAATATTAAACAGAATATTATATGATATATACGATGAAAGCTAGATTACACGAAAAACAAAAATCTAGTAAGACACATTAAACAAATATCGAATTTCAACAAAGAATTAAACCTATAGTATAGTAAATATATATATACATACTATGCTGTACAGTAAATATAACAATATACTCTGTACAGTACATGGGCTCTTGATACAGTGACCACTCGATATAGTGAACAATTGCTTAATGATTCTTGCTATTTTTTTAATGTGTATAGTGAACTATTGACATAATAAATTACTTAGCTGTCCTTTAAGAGTTCATTATATAGAGAGCTCACTATACAGATTATAATTGTAGAGAAGCTGATTTTATTAGTAAATAGTGTCTTCTATATAAATTAAATGTACTGTACAGTACGCTTTACAGATAATAGCAGATACCTTAGCGTTACCGGGACGAAAAGCACTAAGGACAAACATTGAAATTAAAACTTTGATTATTTTATGCTAACTAAAACCAACAGTGTTACTTCGGTGTAGCTTCCAGAAGACCCTTTACTCTAAAATCATTAACTTGTAATAATATGATCAATCTACCCTGTGAAGCCTTCATTATTATGCAGTGCTTACTTATAGAATAATGCATTAAACTTAAATTTATCACAGTGTCAAGTGGATGAAATCAGGATAATGTCCAGGTTTCTTCATAGCTTATATTTTCCGCGAGGTCTTAGAGATTAACACTGAAAAATTTGGTCTAGATCGGTGAAAAGATTTAGAAATGTATAGGAAATACACAGACTGAATGTCTGACTGTCTGTCTGACATTTATAGTATATAAAGTAGGTATATAGAGCACGTTATCTGAGAAGGCGACTTTAATACAGCTGGATAAGCAAACCAATGAATATCCCGTTTTAAATGAAACAAGCTAACCTAACCTGTATTAAAACCATTTTACCATCTCATTTGAATGAGACTAAACATTTCCACGCTAATCTGAAGTCATCTCTTTAGTTTTACAAGAAAATTATACTTTATCTTAACCAATTGAACAGTCTTATAAAAATATATGAAAAATAAAAGTTTTATTTAATTTTTATTGTTTAAATATTTATTTCTATTCATAATATCATTAGCATTAATAAGTGAAAACAGTAAGCAATTATTTTTTAATTTTACAATTAAAAATTTATGATTAATTTATATAATAAAATATAATAGAATAATGTAAATAATAAAATATATAGACACGAATTTCAAGTAAAACAACGTTAACAAGAGTTTTATTTAATTTAAATTGATTTTAAAAACGGATAAAGATCACCAATGATGGATCATACCGTACCTAATACCTTATAAGCTTTATTTAATCTAATCTTAAGAGGTTAAAGCATAAATTGGATGAAATTTAGAAATATTTCTGTATAATTTTCTTTAATTTTTAAGTAGAAATAACTATATAAGTACTGTATAATATACAAAAATACTTTGGGTGTTTATTAATTTAGAAATTTGATGTGTAAACATTTTAATAAACAAATTTATTTACTTTTTACTATTATAATAAAAAAAATTGTGTAAAAATAATAATTTTTGTTTCATAACGTTAGGTTTTTGTGATTAAATTATGAATTCCTTGAAAAATTATGTAGAAATATTAGACAAAATGTTAATTATTTTTTGAGTTTTAATGCTAGAATTACAGTTATATAATTCGTAATTAATTTTTGAATATAAAATTGTTGTAATGTAATTATAGCATAAAAATTTAACGAATAATCAGTAATCTATCTAATATTTCTACGTACTTATTTAAGAATATTTTCATCATAAAGACCTACCGCCTGCCTACATGAAAAGGTTAGAGTAAGCTCATGAAAGTTTGTGACTAATTCAATGTATTTCTCTCCTATAATATGAAAGTAAGAAAATGCTTTTAGTATAAATCTTTAATTATATGAATTAATTCTTTGAAAAATTTCAATACTCACATCTCTGCTCAGAGGCGCATTAATCTGAAGGTCCCTTCTTAGTACTTCATCTCACTGCTTATTACTAATCTACAAGAAGCATTGTTCTGCATAAAATTATATTTTTGATTTGTTTTACTTATAAATCAGAGTTATAAATATCGTGCCACCTTACAGGGGTTTTCACATTTGTGGGGCCTCAAAATTCGATATTTGTAGGCCTATATGCGTAATGCTTCTAAAGAAATTTGCGGGGCCTCAACAGTGCTTAATTAAAATGACCCCTCTATGCTAGAAAGACATTAATAGAGAATATTACACGGAATATATTAGTTTTATATAGCTAAAATATTACAAATATTAATAATTTATATATTAAGTCTTTGTTTAACGTCGTTTCGTTGTAACGCTGTTGAGGAAAGATGATAGAAGTATATTTGTATTTTCTTTATAAACAATAAAACAGATTCTATGAGGTAACAATTAAAACTAATCCTTGTTTATATAATTTAGTCTATGATAAAATAGTTTCTTGATACGTTTTTTCGCTTAACCTCGCAGTATCGAAAACGTTAAATGAGAATTTGCTGTAGGCTATATAAAATTTGAAATTGAATTCAATTAATTACATTGAGACAATTTATGTTTATGTTGCATACCCAATAGTTTAGGATGCTGACAATTTTATGTTTTAAATGAGTAATGTAGCTTTATTTAACAGTATTTACAGATAATTTTGTATGTATATTTAAAAAATTATAATTTATTAATCGCTTTTTTTATGCCACTTAAAAATTGTAAATAAATCTTAATGAAAATTCATTGTTAATGGTAATTTTAACATTACTATTAAAAATATATAAGAATTTTTTGATTTTTTATACATTTAAAACAGAATTTACTGTTTTTTTAATATTTAAATCTATGAAAATTTTTAAATAATTGCATCGTAGTGACTTGTAATAGTGATTCAATTGAATCATTATTACAAATCGCACACACACACACACATATAGGCTATATAGCCTATATATATCGCCCCTGCCCATCCAATGTGGGCCTGCCGAACTCGCAGTGGTGGGCTTTAAAAAAGGGCACTCTTAGCACTCACATGGCTGAAAGAATTAAAATAAGGAAAAATATTTTTCGTTTTTTTAATCAACGAGTAATGTTTAACATATAGAATTACAATACTTAAAAATATCACA